TTAATGGGGAATACCAGTGACCTGGTAGAATGGTGGGCTCCTGGTAGTAGAGCAATAAGTGATTTCCTAAGCGGGCTTCAGGTCGTGTCACTACAGACTTCAAAAGCGTACTCTGGCGACCAAGGGAGGCCTTTCGCCTACAGCTGGAACACGGTCAAGCGATGCTGTCCAGGGCCTTGCGACTCGCGAACGAGTGTGTACAGTATACCCTAGAGTGCTAGGTCAACTGGAAACCGTTGTTGAGACTGTGACGAGGATTACAGTGTCTGAATACTGCGATGAGTGATGAATATGATGATGGAAGAAGGGAGTGAGAAAGGTTGGATATGAAGGAAATGGTCGTTCAGAAACTTGGAATAAGAATAGGGACGGAAGGAGATTCAGTTTGCAGTGGTCAGTCAGGTGATGAGAAAAATCAGACCGCTTAGGCTAGTCTATATTGGGTAACACATATGGAGCACCACCTCTCTCTTCATTTCAATTCACACCTGGCAGCGGGAGATGAGATAACCGTGAATGGCTGTGCATAGATAGAATGCCTTATTCTCCAGGCGTCATTGAAGCAATACATAGTCACGTGTATTGCCCCCTTTCCTGGCTTGGCATAGCAGCTGAAACTGCGTCTCAATTCTGCTTGGAGCCTCGGTGAGTCGAATCTGGTAACATGCCTTGAGGCAGGTTGCTGCCAGCTCCAAATGAGTTTAGGTTGAGACTGAATTGACCTTCTAGGTGATCATGGGAAGAACAATGTAGCAGTAAAGTTAAGGTAAAATCAAATTCTCGATTGGACTTCTCCATGCCACGCCTATATAACCACTATAAATAATCTTTGTATTCTTGTTGATGATTGTTGAAAGCTACAGAGTACAAGTCTCTACTATGGTGGTAAGCCTTGGAGGTAAAGAGTTGTAACTTACAGTGCTGTGCAGTAGTTAGTATATGCATAAGATCGATTGGTACCTATTGTATGCGTCTATCTCATGCCTCGGTCTTACGTCTAAATGCCATCATGAATGCACGGGGCGAAGGGGGTGCGTGCATTAGGTAGTGTCTCTTCAACACTTTTGATAGTACAGTACAGTACTCCGTACTTAAGGGTGAGAGAAAAGAATGGGGAAACCCCGTTTACTGTGAAGCTTGGGCGGCCTATTAGTCTGTTAGTCTGTGCTATGGGAGGAGGATGGCGACTGCCGACGTCACAGCGAGGGGGTGCAATGGGCCACACCAGCTCCATTTGTAGGCACTCCGTTTACGGATGGACCGGGTGCCGAAGATCGTCGGAAAAGAAAAAAAAAGATTGAATACACTCCGAATCCCACAGGACTTCAGTCCAAGCGACTTCATGAACAAAAGATGAGTTGAATGTATTGAATTTTGTCTGAAAATTGTTTAACCAACTGCACTATCTGACGGAAGCCTTCGCTAACAGCTTGCCATGAGTTACCTCAGGGCTAAGTTAGTAAATAGGTACTGTACTGTACGTAGTTACTAACAATGTTGGCCTGCAGCCATGATGTATGAACAAAACAGGCTGGGTAAGAATTCAACCTACCTACCTTACCTATTAGTTAGTATCCTCCGTCCTTAGTCCGTCCCGGACAACGGAGTATGAGCATAACATCCATTCTGGTAAGCTTGCCGCAGTCAACCGCGCCCATCCCCTCAAGCCCCAAACTCGGGACACCGGCCGCCTCGAAACTAGCGTGACCGTATGGTACGGTCCACTTCTCCCTCTGCCTTGCTCTGTTGCCGGGTGTTACCGTACAATCCGCGTACCGGCTGTAGGAGTGTTACGGCCAGATGGAAAAAAAGGCCCGCAAAAGAGCTTCTTCTCCCGACTCTGTCTCTCTATCTCCTTCTCTTCCTTCTTTTACTTTTCTCTACCGCTGTGTGAATTATACCCCCTCCCTTTCCCTCTCCTCTCCTACATTATTACCCTTCGACTCGTGATCAACTTGTCTTTCTCACAATGGCTTCCACCTTGAGACTTGGAACCTCTGCTCTTCGCTCCAGCGGCATGGCTGCTAAGCCCGTTGTTCAGTCCGCTGCCTTCAACGGCTTGCGCTGCTACTCTACCGGCAAGGCCAAGGTCCGTCGCGCTTCTGACATCCGTTGCTGCCATGCTCAGCTGTACTGATTTAAATACGCCTTCCAGTCCCTTAAGGAGACCTTCGCCGAGAAGCTCCCCGCTGAGCTCGAGAAAGTCAAGAAGCTTCGCAAGTACGACTAACTCGATTGCCCTTGGCTCGGTCGGATTGCTAATCACCTTTGGTCTATTGCTACAGGGAGCACGGCAACAAGGTCATCGGCGAGGTCACCCTTGACCAGGTCTACGGTGGCGCCCGTGGTGTCAAGTCCCTTGTTTGGGAGGTCAGTAGTCTACCCGTAAACGACACCCTCCTGGCGGGACCTGGCTAATACACTCGTTTAGGGATCTGTTCTCGACTCGGAGGAGGGTATCCGTTTCCGTGGTCGCACCGTGAGTATAACATGGCTGTCGTCGCGGCCTCGGGCAAATGCTTACAATCTGCTAGATTCCCGAGTGCCAGGAACTTCTTCCCAAGGCCCCCGGCGGTCAGGAGCCTCTTCCTGAAGGTAAGTGTTCTGTTGGCGAAACCGACCATGGTCATTTGCCCTAACGGTTTATCAAGGTCTTTTCTGGCTCCTCCTCACCGGCGAGATCCCCACTGAGCAGCAGGTCCGCGACCTGTCTGCTGAGTGGGCTGCTCGTTCCGATCTTCCTAAATTCATCGAGGAGTTGATCGACCGCTGCCCCAGCACTCTGCACCCCATGGCTCAGTTCTCCCTGGCCGTCACCGCTCTTGAGCACGAGTCTGCTTTCGCCAAGGCCTATGCCAAGGGTCTCAACAAGAAGGACTACTGGAACTACACTTTCGAGGACTCCATGGACCTCATTGCGAAGCTTCCCACCATTGCTGCCAAGATCTACCGCAATGTCTTCAAGGATGGCAAGGTTGCTGCTATCCAGAAGGACAAGGATTACTCCTTCAACTTGGCCAACCAGCTCGGTTACGGCGACAACAAGGACTTTGTTGAGTTGATGCGCCTCTACCTGACCATTCACTCTGACCACGAGGGTGGTAATGTTAGCGCCCACACCACCCACCTTGTTGGCAGTGCTCTCAGCTCTCCCATGCTTTCCTTGGCTGCCGGTCTGAACGGTCTGGCTGGTCCCCTCCACGGATTGTAAGATCTCGCTCCCACCCTTCCCTTTCAACTCCCAGTCCTCAAATGCCTCTAACATGGCGATACTGTACATAGGGCCAACCAGGAGGTGCTCAACTGGCTCACCAAGATGAAGGCTGCCATTGGCAACGACCTTAGTGACCAGGCTATCAAGGATTACCTCTGGTCTACCTTGAACGCCGGCCAGGTCGTTCCTGGCTACGGTCACGCTGTTCTCCGTAAGACCGATCCTCGCTACGTGTCTCAGCGCGAGTTTGCCCTTCGCAAGCTCCCCGATGACCCTATGTTCAAGCTGGTCAGCCAGGTCTATAAGATCGCTCCTGGTGTTCTGACTGAACACGGCAAGACCAAGAACCCTTACCCCAACGTCGATGCTGTAAGTTTACCGCTGCGAAGACTCCTGGGATCTATTTCGCGGAATCAGTATACTAACTCGTCTCTAGCACTCCGGTGTCCTCCTCCAGTACTACGGCCTGACTGAGGCCAACTACTACACCGTTCTCTTCGGTGTCTCCCGTGCTCTGGGTGTCTTGCCCCAGCTGATCATTGACCGTGCTCTTGGTGCCCCCATCGAGCGCCCCAAGAGTTTCAGCACCGAGGCCTACGCCAAGCTTGTCGGTGCTAAGCTGTAGATTTGTCAATGATATGAAACCCCCCCCGGAGGATGTGGAGTTTTTGTTACGAATAAACACTTTATACTTTGTATTATGCCTATCTTATTCTTGGATTATCCCTCTTTTTTTCTTTTTGCCTGGGATTCGCCAAGTGTTGGGGTTGGCTCGATTAATGTATGATAGGACATGGTTCGAGTGAGCCTAGTAACAACACTTTTAACATGATCAATCAATTCCCAAAGACATTCCGGTTGCATTCCTGCCTTTCCTCCTGTCTTTCTTCCTTTTTCTTTTTTCCCTCTCTAATCTGTTTGTTTTCCTCACTCTCTTCACCTAATCTGCGTGCCATGTTGTACACGGGCTTTGAGATGGAATGGGCTCTATCCACCTAAGTAGGTAGACTGAAGGGTGAGCGCGGCTGGTGTGAAGTAGACAGACATATTCTACTCCATCATGACTCGCAGTGAAGGATGCGCCTCTTTAAATTGGATTTACTCTGGACGGAGTACTCCGGGAAAGGGGGACAGACCTCGGGATGATAGAGTGCAGAGTGTTGTCAGTCAAGAAATTGACAATGGAAACCACCAGCCCTGGGCCAGGCCCGGAGTTGTACTGTAGGTACTAAGTTACAGGTTTACTCCAGTGGACTCCGTCGTTAGGCAAGGTGGTGGTGGTGGTAGCGGTGGTGGTAGTTAGTGCATTACTCCGTGGACCGAAACGGGAAGAAGCGAGTTGAACCCGCCGCAGCCTTCCCTCCCCCCTCCCCCCCCCCAACGGTTGAGGTACTCAGCGCCCCGATTTACTCCGGTGCTCAACTGCTGGAGACTCCCTTCATGGCTAGCGTATGGGTTTACCCTGATCAGGCTAGCAACATTACTGATGATGAGCCAATGACCCGCAAGTGACTGGGTCTTCCGGGGTGTTTTGCTCCATCCAGCCGCTGCCCAGCGATCGGGAAGACGAGTCTGACTCCGAGCTCCTGCCTCCAGGCTAATGTGTGCTCATTACTACGGGGTACTCCTTGGTACGGATCGCTCTCTTGAGTCTCTGAGTCTCTACCTAGTAGTAGCCTGGGCCTCCTTCCCTGAACTATTGAAAGGGAGAAAAAAAAATACATAACAACAACAACTTTCTTCGTCTTCTCTTTCTTGACTTTCAAAAACCCAGAACAAAAAGAACCTTCCGACTTTGGTGTTACTATTCCATCTTGGTCTACCCGACACCTCAATCTACTATAGTACGTGTGAAACATCAACATCACCTTCTCATCCATCCAGTTAGCAAGATATGGCTGGCTGGCTGGCTGGCCGGCTATGGAACTTGTCTGAAACTTGATAAGCAAATATTCAGCTGCAAGCCCCCAGACCAACATCATGCTTTCCCATCCTCCTCCTCCTCCTCCTCCTCCTCCTCGTACTCCTTCTTTTTCCACTCTGCTTTCTTTCCGCTTTCCACCCATCCCCCGTTCTAGCTTGCTTGCCTTCTTCCCGTTCCTGCTCTCTTCTCTTCTCTTCTCCTTCCATCAATCAGTGCTCTGTGGTGACTAACGTTCCGGAACTTTCCTGGTGTTCAACAGCGACCAAACCGACAAGTCCACCTATTTGTGACTGGACATTCCCATCTGCAGTTTCTCTGCCATCTTTTGCGATCCTTTAGGCGACGAAGCCCCTTATATCCCTTGGTCAGGGCCCCTTTCAGCGCTCCCCAAGTTCAGAGATGTCTCCCGATCCTGTTGCAACGGCCCCTGCCGGCCAAACGCTTGAGAAGAAGCCTGTCAAATTCAGCAATCTATTGCGTACGTATTCGAGCCCTCATTCGTCTCTACCGGCCAATATCCATGATTCTGATGGCTCTGTCTACAGTCGGTGCAGGTTTGAACTTGTTCGAGTACGTATTACATCCCCCCATGACACCATCACCCTAAATTCTGGATGACTAACAGCCAGCAATAGGGTCACAACCTTGGGACAGGTATGACTTCCGTACTGATTGTGAAGCCGCAGGGCCGGTGAATGTCCGTTCAGCTAACACGGTTCATAAATCTAGCCGCTGGAGGTGATCAAGACAACCATGGCTGCAAACCGAGGCGATAGCTTCGCCGGTGCTATGGGTCGGATTTGGGGTCGTGGCGGGATCCTCGGTTGTAAGTTTCTCTCGCTTGGAGTTTCTCGCGACTAGCGTGTCGGATGCCGTATCTGACGTGAAGTCACAATAGATTATCAAGGTCTCATTCCGTGGGCCTGGATTGAGGCCTCCACCAAAGGCGCTGTCCTACTCTTTGTCGCGTCGGAAGCTGAATTCCGCGCCAAGGTCCTTGGTGCCCCCGATTTCATGGCCGGAATCGCTGGTGGTATGGTTGGCGGTATTGCTCAAGCCTATGCAACAATGGGATTCTGTACCTGCATGAAGACAGTTGAGATCACCAAGCACAAGATGGCTGCGCAGGGTGTCAAGCCTCCCAGCACCTTCGCGACTTTCATGGACATCTACCGCAAGGAAGGTATCCGTGGTATCAACCGTGGTGTCAATGCGGTCGCTATTCGCCAGACCACCAATTGGGGTTCCCGTTTCGGGTTCTCTCGCTTGGCGGAGCAGACAATCCGCAAGGTAACCAACAAGGATGACAGCCAGAAGCTGAACGCTTTCGAGAAGATTCTGGCTTCGAGTCTGGGTGGTGGTTTGTCGGCTTGGAATCAGCCCATCGAGGTGATCCGTGTCGAAATGCAGAGCAAGACCGACGATCCCAACCGCCCAAAGAATCTGACGGTTGGCAAGGCTGCCAAGTACATCTATGAGAATAACGGCATCAAAGGTCTCTACCGTGGTGTGGCTCCTCGGGTGGGGCTGGGAATCTGGCAGACCGTCTGCATGGTGGCTCTGGGTGACATGTAAGTTGAACCCCGTTCCCCGCCTTCTTGTCCTTGCAATTCCGGGTTGTTCGCATACTTCGAAACCATTCATCGAATGAGCGATGCCACCAGGGTGGGCTAGCCCGGCTGGATCGGCGCACCCCGGACTCGCCATGTGATTTTGCGGTATTACCGAGGGAAGACTTCCGGCTAACGTGTGGGTCTCCGTTGCACCGAACAGGGCCAAGGAGGCAGTCGAAAAACTGACGGGCGAAGCTGTCACCGCAAAGCACTAGGGAAGGTTTGAGATACCCTTCTGCCATGCACACGGTCGGAGGCGGCAAGAACACATGCTGGCCCGGTCAGTTTGCTGTCCTCTCAGACCCCACCGTTGATGGAGCGAGGTAAAGCGACGTGCTGAGCATGCCGCACAACAGATGTTACAAGCATTTTATTTACTATACTAGTGTTAATAGACCTGCGCATGTTGATGGCTCGTTGGCCAAGATTGGCAGATGCAAATTTGGCGCGAGTTGTATAAATTATCCTGCGCTCTATATGTTAGGACCAAATTTTTGTCTCGCACGTATTACAGTTGCAGTACATGGTTTTGTTGGCCGATTTCCCTGAGACCTGGTCAAAAGATCCACCCTCTACTTATTGGGGCGTCTCATAAGTGCTCGCGGGCTGGGCAGGTAGGCTTCAGTTCACAATGGAGTTGGAGTGTCCTGGAAAAATTTCTCCCGCGATACTAAACTCCTTGTCAAATTGCTGACATGGACTGAGACCAGCTCTCTGCTGTGTCAAGAAGGCCATTCTGCTCGGTACAACCTCTGAATGACAAGTGTTAGATATAGAGATACTTTGTGATTTTCGTCCTTGTGAACCTCGGGAAAGCGCCGATTACAACTAGCGATTGCCTTTGACCGTAAACGAAGAAACGAAACGAAGAGTACTATCCATGAGCATAACATGCCCGAACAAATCTTATTCGGGTCTCTTTGGAGATTGGAACGATTTTTGGTGCACCTACCCTGCTGTGTAAGGTTGACCTCATCAAGCCACAGCCCGTTTGAGACCAGATTGAAGAATACGGATAAGTCTTCCAGCAAGGGTAGATTGATTCTAGTCTTCCACTACCTTGAAGATTGACACCACTTCTAGCTTCATAGTCAGCCCATACAGTCATCCCATGCAAACGCTTGCGGGAAACTCGGAAGTATAGTGTGCGTAACATGTGCGTGAGACCTACATTATTTATGGATTGTTGCTACAAACCAAAGTTGGCGACTTCAACTGTAGATATACGATCGTCTATACACACTCATCTGGGCCAAGATCTCACCGCATAAGGCACGCAATGTAATAATAAGATACAATTGTATTACAGACGCACACCACTACAGCCACATCATCCCAAACGGAAAACAAGATATCTGCGGAAGGGTTGATCTAGACACAAGATGAAAGGAAACGGAAGACGCGCTTTTCCTCCAAAAGCAGAGCCAGTCTAGGATGTATTTGTTGTATACATGATTAAACGGTCAAGCCAAGGTCCTGGGCGTAGGGAAGCTGGAAGAGGTCGCCAACGGCGGTAACGGAAGCCTTGCCAGACAGGAAGGACTTGGCAACCTAAAGGGTAAGGTAACGCGGTTAGTGATTTGCTGCCATATGGACGATATTTTGGGAAAGTGAACATACCTCCTTAACCTGGGCCTCGGTGACGGCGTCAATGCTCTGGGCGACCTCGGAGATCTGGTAGGGCTTGCTGCCGTTAATGAGAGCGGAGCCAGTAGCCTCGAGACCAGTCTCGAGGTTCTGAGCGGACTCAAGAGCACGGAATTTAGCCAGAGCAACGGCCTTCTTGACGTCTTCGCTGGCAAATTCGCCAGCAGCGGCCTTCTTCAGGACATCGACGGCGCTCTTACCAGCGGAGCTGATCTGCTCGGCCTTGCCAGAGAGGGAAATGGTGAATAGACCGGCATCCGAGTAGGCGAGGTTCTTGGTCGAGGCACGGACGTGGGAGAAGCCCTGGGTGGCCTGGCCGAGAAGAGAGAAACCGGGGGTCCACTTGATAGTGGACTCACCGCCAAGGAGGGCAGCGAGAACGGAAGCCTCGGGCTTGTAGGCAGAGGTGCCGAAGGCGCCAGAGCCGGGGAAAGCCACAACGACAGCATTTCCAGCCTTGGAGGAGATGCGCTGCTCGCCACCGTAGTACTGGGAGGCGGCGCTCTGCTGGAGCTGGTACTTGGAGGAGCTACCAGCGCTGGGAGCCTCCTTGAAGAACTGGCCAACCCACTTGGAAACCTCCGCAGAGTTGGGGCCACTGCCGACGATGGCAATGTTGGACTTAGCGAACGCCTGCTGGGCGAATTCCGCGACGGCCTCAGCAGAGAGGTACTTCTCGAAAGCAGTGGTAACCGAGGGGGAGATGCTCTCACCCAGACCGCGGTGGAAAGCCACGGCGTGAGCAGCATCGATAGCCACAGCCTCGGGGTTGGCGGCAAGAGCTTGTTGTCTGTACTTGAGGGTCTTGAGGATGACCTCGCTCAACTCGTGGGCTAATAGCGCAAAAGAAATAACCATATATCAGACTTGTCTGACCGACAAATTGAAGCTTAGCGGGATGACATACCGGAGAACTTGGTCTGGGAAGCAACCTCCGCCAAAAGTTCGACGAAGTAAGGGAGGTCATTGGCGAGAAACTTAGCCTTGAGGACAACATTCTCACGCGAGTGTGTAGCGGAAACCTCACTGCCCAGCAGTTCGACCTCCCGATTGATCCGCAGCGCCGAGCGTTTGAGTGTGGACTAGTCGTTGCAAGCAAGCGTCAGTTCACTTATGTCCAAGATAGTGTGCCTGAGACCTGCAGAGCGAGCAATTAAGCCGGGAGTGCTAACCTTGAAAGCGAACTGTTCGAGAGCATCGGAGAAGCCAGGGAAGGGCTGGTAGCGAGTACCGGCCTTGGAAACGAGGGCCAGGGTGCCGGTGGGACCGGCAACCTCTCTGTTGGCGACCTTCACACCAGCAGACTCGGAGACATCATACTGGAGGCCAGGAGTAGCGGCAGATGCCATGCCTCGACGGCTGGTGGCACCGGCAGCAGAGCACTGCTTGTGAAGCGCACGGGGCGCATTTCGGCTGATGGTGGATCGCGACAGCATTATCGCATGTGTAGAAGATACAAAGGGAGGAAGGTAGATATAAAGCCGAGAGGCTCAACAGCAATTGAAGGGGGTGGGAAGGTAGAAGAGCCGAGGAGAGCTGCTGGCGGTCGTTGAACGGGTTAGAAACGATGTCTGAAAAGCTTCAAGATGCCGGCGTTGTTGATTACTCGTACTCTGATTGGCCTGAATTGGGTGTGCGGGCGGAACCGGCTTTTCCTCCTCCTCCGAGTCAGCTGAGGTCATGTGATTTAGTTATTCTTCTTACGACTGCACGTGAGTTTATTACGCCTGCGACGTGCGATAAGAAGTAACGCCAATCAGTTGTCAAGGGGGGAAAAAAAACGAAATTCCTCAAGAGTGACAATTTGAAAGGCCTTCTTCTCCCTTTACAAGTGCCTCATGCTCTTCCCCCGGTGACCTCGATTTTTGCCCTGGAGAATTGACGGCGGTGGTTCTCTAGACAACCTCTTCAAACATGGCTTCTCAAGTATGCGACAACGCTCCATTGTTAGCTCTATCCTCGTGCTAACAAACGTTTAACACAGTACGCAGCGGAGCTTTGCGCGCTCTTAGTTGAGGACAACTTTGGCGAGCTTTTTGCGGTATGCTCACAGCTCAAACCTTCGCTTCGTTCGCTTTCGATACACCCGACATCTTACAGCTACCGTGCCCCAAAAAATGTAGAAGGTGCAGTTAGACTGACTTTGCCCTCAATATGACCAGCGCATCTTTTCAATTCTTCAGCGTTATGACCGATTGTCCTTTCCCCGTCTCAAGTTCTATTCGCGCCTGTCTGACCGCCAGCTCCGTCATGGTCTCGCCGCGATGATCCAGCATCACCTCATCTATCACTATACCTCTTACGACGAGGGAGTCACCTACTACGAGCCCAACCCACAAGCTGCGTACTACCTAGTACGATCCGGTAAAATTCTCGCATTTATTCAAGACCGGCTAGGTAAGTATGCGGCAACTGTCATGTCCACCATCATGCTCCTCGGACATGCTCAAATCAGCCATCTCGAGACACTGCCCGAGTTAAGATCTGGACAATTGGAAGCGGACGGCATCAATGACGATCACGAAGGAGAGGGGGCGGGGGAACGAGTGAATGGGCATAACGTGGTCGGAGCCATCGAACAGCCAGCTTTGCTCCATCCGACATTGAAGACATTGGCATCCCATGGATATTTGATCCGGGTCCGAGATGCGCAATTTCAAAGTTATGCAGACAACGCGCTCGATGCTGAACGGGCAATCAAGTCGCGGCCCGACGTCAAACAGATGAAAGGCAAACGGCTCGAGGAAACCGTTCTAGAAGGCACACTTGCTATGCTGAGGGAAAAACTAGATGGAGATCTTACCCGTGGATTGATGCATAACGGCCTACCGCGTGGTGCCAAGAGAAGGCCTGGTAGCGGGTCTGCGGACAAGAGTGCCCGGATGGACTATGATATGGAGGACGAGGCTGAGGAGGAGAATGAGTGGTCTGATGACGACATGGGAGGGGACGCGACTCCTATGGAGGTAAAAAGCTCACCGTGCTGATTTATGCTCGTCACTGAGACTAACGGTGCTGCGTCCATCTAGTCCGGAATAGTTATCCGAGTCAACTACGAGAAACTGGACGTTGCTCTGCGGAATCGACGGTTCCTCGACCTTGCGGAGATGCACGCGTCGTCGGCCACCGCCCAAGTCTACGAATGTCTCCTGCGACGCATTGAATACCAGACCAAGCAATGTCGGGACAGCGTGGAAATCCCTCGCGAAGGAGAAGAAGGCGAGCAATACTCCGTTGCGATTGCGCTGAGTGCGGTGACGGAAGAGGTCGACCCGCAGTTAGATCTTGCGGGCTCCATCGGCCCCATGGAAATCCAGCACTCTGTCAGCAAGCGTGGAAAGAGACCTTTAGACGAAGACGGAGTTAATGGGACCAGCCATCAAGACTCCGACGCCCCTAGCCGGACCTACGAGATCGACCAGCATCTCAGTCTTCTCTCTCAACCCCCCTACAACTTGACCTCGAAGCGTGTCGTATCCGGCCTCATAACCTGGACAGTGGAGTTCCGACACCTGGCACGTAAGCTGCGGCATTTGGAACTCGAACGTGTCATCGAAGCTCGCTACGGCGATGTCGCTCTACGAGTGATCCGTGTCCTCCACGCCAAGGGCAAACTTGACGAGAAGCGCCTCCAGGAAATCAGCCTCCTTCCATTCAAGGACTTGCGGCAGGTATTAGCCAGCATGCAGTCCGGCGGATTCGTCGACTTGCAAGAAGTCCCGCGAGACGCACAGCGACAGCCGTCGCGTACAATTTACCTATGGTTCTACGATCCGGACCGGATCCGTGACAGCATCTTGGAGGACACCTACAAGGCTATGTCTCGGTGCATGCAGCGCTTACGGTTCGAGCGGAGTCGACTCAAGGAATTCCTGGAGAAGACCGAGCGCAGTGACGTCAAGGGGAACGAAGAGCGGTATTTGTCCCCGGCGGAGCTCACCCTACTAGGGCAATGGAGAAGCAAGGAGGCTTTACTGCTCGGTGAAATCACCCGGTTGGACGAGATGGTGGCAGTCATGCGGGACTACTGATGAGGGGCGATTCCAACCAATCTTGTCTCCCTGATGGCTACCCCATTCGTGATAATACGTTTCTACCCACTGATGCCACCTCATATGCCCCGTATTCAATAACTTCCCTTTATGACCATAAGCTCAGTGATGATCAATTGGTACCTGGGGCATGCGCTATCCCTGCGAAAATTGTGTAAAAAAGAAATGTCCAGTGTCTAGTAGGCCACCTGAACTATAAGAGGGAGCATGAGCTGTGCAGCAGGTTTGATTGAATATTACATTGCTCGACAGGCAGCCATTGGCCTGTTGCAGTCGCCGAGGTGTATAGTAATCCAACAACTCTGAAGCCGGATCACGTATCGAGCGAAACATCCACCCGGGTACGCCGGTTCAGACATTTACCACACCATATATAGTGACAATATTCCTGGGAGAAGGTTGCAAACCACATCCCACAAGCTACACCACATATTTAGGTGCAAATGTGAACTTCCTTTCTCGTCATATGCCTTTCCTGTTCGGCAGTATGCACCTTCGTGGATATCGTATCGCTGGGGGACAGGGACCGCTACCGGGAATACAGCTTACAACCTCAGAATCTACCTTAAGAAGAACCATTCTCTTGTTTATTAGTCACGATCGCTGCGTCCGACTGTAGATTGTACTTCCGGCCCACTCTCAACGCCCGCGGTCGCGTTGGCGTGCTTCGACTTGGCTTCCGAGTCTCGCAGGAGACTCTCCGCGATGTCCAGCTTGCCCTTAGTCTCTTCAAGCTCCTGCTGAAGGCTCTTGATGTAATCGATTGCCATCTCTACCGTGCTGGCCTTGCTAATTGGTTGATTATTCGCTTTGTCTTTTTCTTTGTCGGCTCCCTTGAGGGGGCAGGCAGCAGCCTCCTTAGCATGTTTCATTTGGATGAATGACGGAGGAATGAGTGTCTCTATCTCCTTGAGTGCGTTGTTGATGCGGTTTCTTCGTCCCTGTTCGGCCAATTTGTGGTTGGTGCGCTTTGAGCTGAGATTCTCTGCTAAGGTCTCGGGATAGGAGACGCCAGGCAGAAGGGTGCCGTCCAGAATGTGCTGATAGTTCGACTTCGATGCCAAGTACAGAGCCGATGTTTCGCTCGACATTGCTAGGAACAGAATCCGATCAGCTGACTCGTAGATCAATGGTGCGGCTAGTGAATACTTACCATCTCCACGGACTAGCGGTTGGATGCTGGGACTGATTTTGGGACGCAGGCTGGGACTAGCTTGCGAGGAACTCAAGCTCTGTCGCTTCCGCCCTATCGGACCTAGTTTGGGTGTGTCCGATTTCTTGGGCAGCGGGCCGCTTGGCGAAGGCATAGCAATTGAGCGAGGGCTGGGAGCCAAGGAGGGGTTTCTGTTGACGACCGGAGCGGAATTCGGTTCCAGAGCTGGGGTCGTACTTCCTGAGGTTTCTGACGAAACCGATTCCGCCTGCACCGTAGTTTCAATACGAGCCACCTGCGGTCTTGTGAAAGGAGCCAGCGAAGTTGCGGCCTCGGGGAGGACCACATCTTCCATTACGTCGTCATGGGGTTCCGAGATAGTGGGGGTTGATCGAGGAACTGCTTGGGTGGTCGAGACCGGTGACCGTTGAATGCGCATGAGCATCGCCGGCGTCGCAGGTTCATTTACATCTGAGGGTCGAGCTGGCTGAGGGCGAACGGCCGGCGATCTCCGCGAGTGAGGCAAAGCAGGCGGGGGCATTAAGGGCTCGGAGAGAGGCTCTGGCGAGACCGAATCTTGACCGGAGCTCTCATTGCTGGCATAACGAAGTCCACTCTCGCCGGAGGCGTGGGTGGCATTGGCAACCTGGTCTTGACTGAGGCTATTCAACAGCTCGTCGGCATTGAGGCTCATCAAGGACTTTTTGCGTGTTTGTGGCCGAACCGAGGGCGATTGCTGCTTTTTCGCACGAGCCGAGAAGGACTTTGTGCTGGACGGCTGTCGGCGATGTTTCCGTATCAGCCCCGGGGATGACTGACTGGACGCCATGGTCAGGGGATTGTCGGCAGGTGAAGGGACAAACCCCAGCTCCGACACCTGGCTGGAATGGAAAGGATAGCCACTGGAGTTCGTGTGCTGTGCCTCGAGGGCTGGTGATGTGAGGGGGGTGAAGTACTCTCCAGGAATAGTGTATTCGGGAAGACGAAACTGAGCTTCCAACGGTGTCATGGCTGGCGAGACAAGCGGGGTGTAAAGAGCCTAGAGCGAAGCGGACGTATGCATTAGCTCTCCGCAGATGCTTCCATCCATTCCCAATCAAGACGCTTACCTGTTCATCGTTCACACGGTTAAACCTTTCGTAAACTTCGCGGGTGTCGTCCGCCCGCTGCGGGAATGTAGCGGCATTTCCATGGAACTCGACACTGTTCGGAGTGGAAGGAATGACCGGTCTGCCTTGCGGGACAAAGGATTGGGACATCGACTGCGTCGGTTGAGATAACGAGTGTGACTGATCCGGGACTGACGCGTGCAGATGAGGATGGTACATGGGTGGTTTGTGTGCATAGAAGGCCGGGGTGATTGGCGCGGTCGAGAAGGACGAGCCATGTGGCTGACCTTGTTGTCCGTGATGGGTAAGGTCCAGGGCGAAATCGTTGTTGATCATGGGGCTGTACGACGAAGCGGGGGCAGTCATGTCGCCAGTATCCAAACTAACCAATTGCTCCTGCGCAGCGGCGGTCGAGACGGGCAAAGACATGGTGACAGCGTCAATCAATGGACGAGAAGCGTGATGGTCCGGTTGAGGTTGACCGTCCACGTCGGGAAACTGCATTCCGAACTCGAGGAAATTGGTGAATTCATCGTCGTTGGACGGAGGAATGTCCGACCAGGACAGGGAATGCCCTTGGTCCATGACGAAGTGGAAGGGGGTGCAGAACGGATGGAACTCCCAGCTTCTGTTCGATAAGAAAAGTGGAGCAATGGAGACGGTGAGCGGCAGACGTTTGATTGTCGACGATAGGGTGATGCGGGGAGGAAAGGAGGGACTGGGAAAGAGCTGGGCGTCGCGATTAGAATCAAGACGAAGAAGGACCAAACTAATCCAGTGAGGATCATTTACTTGAGGAGAGGAGGGCGTAGGGCACGCTCAGGAGGAAGCTTTCAGGGACATGGTGGAGGACGAAGGATGAGTAGTCAAAACAGAAAAAGAGATTATTTGCAGACTACTAGGTACCGATAGGAACGTCACTTCAACCACCAGAACAGAACTGGGAATGGTCACGCGAGAAGAAAGGTAAAAAGAGAAAAAAAAAGGAGGAGGAGGTGGTGGTGGAGGAGGAGGAGAGAAGAAGAGGAAGAAGAGGAAGAAAGAGAAGAAAGATGATTTTGAGACAGTGAACCAAAAGTGAACCACCAAAAATAAAATAAGATAATAAGAAAGGGAAGGAGGGGAGGGAGTCGGGACTTAGAGCGAGAGAGAGGAGCGGAGGAACGAGGATGAGCGGCCTGACTGGCTGGCTTCAGGACTCGGGACTACAAGTAAAAGAGAGACTCCAGGAAAAGAGAGAACCGAGAAACCTTCCAAGTTTGAAAGTCTAAAAGGCTAATAAGTTCCGCGGCACTGAGCCCAATGGCACGATTTCCGCGGATAACAGAACTACTGGAGATTGTACGAGTCTACGGAGTAGTAGTTAGACTAACTTATAACTTAGTACGTAGCCGGTAGTGATCGGGGAAAAAAGGGCCCCGGCCCAGTGGAGTCGGCGTAAAAGAGAGAGATAGGAGGGGAGATTCCCGGGTGGATCAGTTAGTTAGTTAGTTAGCAAAGTACTGTACCTACGTACTACTCATATGTATTATTGACTCAGTGAGATTACCGATATGTTACTTACTTACTTGGTACTACATACTTATTTACCTGTGTATACGCAGGTGACGATCTATGAGTATGCATCTCCAGTACTGTACTTGCTATTTATCCAAGGCTGAAAATGAGATAAATTAACATGGCCTGAGCTCAACAGCTTGATTTCCTACATCAGACCATAGGTGGTGGTGTTAGTTTCCCGGGTTTTACTTATCTATCATTTTCACCCTGCAGGCGCTTGAAGGTTGTGAGCAAAGCAACGCAAAGCAACGCAACGCCACGCCACACCGTTGGTCTGTGTTTGGGATTCAGCCCACAGCCTTCTGGGATCTTCTCACAATTCCAATCGATCCTGAATTGGTTCACGATGACAGGCTAGCGGGCTGGCTGATCAGATATTACGTTTTGGGCAAATGCCCAAGTGACCTCTAGAGCAAAAGAATTCCACCACGAGACAGGAGCGACAGAATCCGTCGGGTATGTACTGTATGTACATACAAGTTTGCTGCACCTCAAGAATAAGAATTATAATAATGATGAGTTATGTTTCATCGTACCTGTTAGCCGACCTTGTCTGCTTTAGGTCGTACATTAGTCTCCCTGCCGGTCCATTAGCGAGCTGAATTCATTTGACCGGTGGTCCGGTGGTACTCCCTAGCAACTTATCAGTCTGGTGCCTGGCTTAGGATGCCGGCACGGGAAGGAGTAGTCTGCAGCATTGGTCTCCGGTCATAGTTATTAGAGGTTAGGTAAGAAGCTGGAAAGAACTTACTTATAATGCCTCAAATAACATTGAGAGTTGCGCAGATTGAGAGAAAAGGATGCAGTGTACGGAGTACCGAAGAGATGTGCCAATCCTAGCCCGACGGTGGATGGGAGTTCTAGATTTGTCTCTTTTAGCACAGAGTAGTTCTGGTGGGGAAAAGATCAGGAAAGAAAAAAGAGACAAACTAAGGAAGAACACACCCCGAGACGAGCAGCCCTAGAGAAATTGGATACGGGAGGATGTACGGAGTACTGTAAGTTATAACTACCGATATATAATACTAAATATTCATATGTACTAATATTTCAAGCTAGTGTATGGACCTTTTTTGCCACTACCTTACTTAGGTAGACACCTACTTCATCGTACTCATACTTACCTAGTAGTCTCTACAGAGAAGTCTTATGGTTTGAATGAATCCGTATGTATTGCATGTCATCTCAGCGAGCCTGAATGGTCAGCGAACCACTTTCTCTTTCTCTCTCCCCCACTACGTTATTGGGGTTAAGCACAAAACCCGGCCGCCGCGGGCGGGAGAGGAGGGTTTCGAATTTGGTTCCTCTCACATTCCTGGCAATTGCAAGCCGATTTGAGTAATGGAAACCCGCTGCAGTGTGCTGTGATAAGAGCACGGGCCAACCAAAGATCCCCATCTTCTACGTATTATGTAACGTTAAGTGGTCGTTTCACTCTGGAGATGAGCTTACATAACTTGTCATGTGCGGGGTCTGGTGACTGAGATGTGACATGCCATGAGGATGATGACATAAAACACCAATTAACAATTACTTAACCAATGTAAGAGTAAGTTAGGTTAAGACAACCTAACAACAATATCCTGGTGCTAGCATCAAAACACCGCCCTCCCCCGCCCTTCCCCCCCCCCGGCACCACCACCACCACCACCACGGTATGGGTATATATTCTACTTGGGCATTTACTCTTTTTATCTGGTGATTCACAACTATTGCTTTGCCCCACGATGAGGCCACCGGTGCCGGACCTTGCGGTACCGCGATCCCGCAAAGCCTCGCTTGAACAGCAGTGGACCGATCCCCGCAGTACCGCCCCCGCTACCTTCTTCCTGGCCCGCAGCAGCAGTCATATCACCGATTCCGATAGGGAGCTTTCCCCCGACCAAGTTAATCGTCCCGCGGAGAATATATTTGGGGTACAGAGTCTGGAGGAAACGGATATTCCAAAAGACATTCTTTCGAATTTGTCTTGCAACCGCCAGCCTGACCTGGAGGAGTCTGTCGCCCGCACTCATCAGCCTCTGGTTCGAGATGAGGAAGAGGAGCGTGAAGCCCGCCAGACAATCCGTCGCAGGTCGACCTTGAAGCCTTCAGATATGCTTACGACCAGCTCAGTAAAACCCTTTCGGCCTTCTCCTGAGGGACTTTCCTCGCGACCGCTGACCCCTTTGACTTTCGATAACCCGGATGACCACTCATCCCTGCCAAGTAGTCCCCGATCCATTTCTAATCATTCCATGCGCCATCTTGATGATATTTCAATCACCGATGATTTGAGTAGTCAGGCCGTGGCCTCCGGAGAAGAAGAAGAAGAAGATGATGATGATGATGACTATCGCATAGCGCATTATCCTGTTTCAGACAACACATCCCAACTGATCATGCCAAGCATCAAGATGCCCAGTCGGAAACCCTTCACAGATCGTGGGAAGGCTCTAGGTCGATTGAAGGTTTTGATCGCAGGTGCATCTGGTAGGCTGGGAACCATCAATGCTACTACCGAGAAAGGGATGCTGATATAAAGGTTACAAGGATTGGGAAAGTCATCTCTCATCCAGTCTATAGTTCAGGCCTGCGATGACATTGTGCACATGGACGATTTTGCCTCGGCCTCCCCTACTAGAATATCACGGCCTTCCATTAAATCTTCTCGCACGTCCCACATCTTCAGGTTTCCACAAGTGGCCATCACGGAAATATACGCTAGTACCAAGCCCTATCCGTCGTGGTGGTCGGATTTGGAGGACTCGCGTGTGCTCCGGCGGAGGAAAAGCACAGGTGATGTTGTTCTGGAGCGCAACATTTGCTTTGTAGATACTTCAGCCACGTCTATGGGTCGATCGGAGCAGACTGATTCGGTCATACAATATATCCGCCAGCAACTGTCTCGAGCAACCACCGCCATCGATGCCCTGAACCATGATTTCCAGAATTTACTCGCTGGCAACGGTGGGACTCAAGTGGATGCTGTTCTTTACCTCATCTCAAAAGGTGAGTAGTTCGAACTTTTCCAGGTCTTCAACGGCCGTGATAACAGCCAACACTTTCTTAGAAACCCTCCTCGCCGATATGGAGTACATTCAAAGGCTCTGTGATTGGACCAATGTCATCCCCCTCATCGCTAAATCAGATCTTTTGACCGACGAGAATATCTTCGCTCTAAAGTCTTCATTCCAGAAGCACGCTCAGAAATTGTCCATCAAGCCTTTTCTTCTAGGCGAGTCCAGCACAGACACGGAAGACATCAATGGTCACCTACCTTTCGCGGTATCTTCCGCCAAAGCCAGTAACGACGATGTAATGGATGCCAGCACCCTTATGAGCCCAGACTATGTCCAACCTCTGGTGCCCTCGGAACTAATGTTGCTGGTTCGACGGGTTTTTGATAGGGAGAACGTTGCCTGGATGCGGCATTCCGCTGCAAAGAAGCTAGCCCTTCAACAGCAGGAAAGACCTTCGCAGGAGCAGCTGCAGCAGGAGGAGCAGAGTCATCTCCCTCTGAGCGCTCTCACACTCGCACACAGTGTTCACCGCGGCTCTCCCACTTACACCATGGCTCGGCTCGCGGACCACACCCGTCAGGAGGAGCGCTTGGCTCGAGTGCAGCTGGCCAGGTGGGCTTCGGATTTGCAGCAAAGCCTTCAGAACGAACGAGACAGATATGCCGCGATGGCCCAGGGCGAACGCGCCATCTGGCTCACGGAACGTATCGGGGAGTGTGTCGTAGAGGGATCGTTGATTCCTATCACCCAAACCCCGGGCTTCTGCGGCCTCCACAGGCCTACTGAGAAAGCTGGTGGCGGTGGGGTAGTCCGCCGGACTGTTAACGGACACAACGTGGAGTACCAGGTCGCTCGCCTCAGCCCCCAAGACCCGCTAGGCCTCGTACGATGGTACGAGGACCTCCGGCGACGTGGGTGGACCGTCGTCCAGGTTGTAGGGAGCTTCGGGGTAATTGGCGGGCTCGCATTTTGTTTAGCCAAGGCCTGTGGGTTTCCCTCACGCAACCTGTGCGAATGGCACCTGGACTGGTACAACACCAGCAACTAACTAAGGATGATGCCGTCCGTTACCTTCCCGCTTCAGCCTTTCAGTTCATACTGATGAACGAGCCCCACCCTTATAACTCATTCCCACATCACAACTCCAAAATCCTGGCTTTATCTTCGCTCTAGACTTCGCTGGACTATTACAGTTCTCAAGAAGCGTGCTGCCTTCATGCCCCTCTATTACCCATCTACATATGCTGCCAAGGGGGGCTTATTGTCCTCATGTCCTCATGTCCCATTGACCCAATACCATTCACCTCACTTTGTCTTCGGCGTTTCAAGGTTATCGGCCCGTGTTATCAATTTGCTCTAGCATATATTTGTTCACTGCACTTCCGCCCCCCCCCCCTCCCCCCCACAATCTCTCGCTCAATACCGCATTTCATGCCCCTTGATGACCTGTCGATTCACCCAAATATATAACTCCGTAGGATGCTTACGCACCCGGCTTCGGCCAACCTCTTGTATCATCTAGTCTCAAACTCCCTCATCTCTGAATAGTACCTTTGTGATCAAATCCAATGTGGCTGAAGGAGATATATCCTCTTCGGAGTAGAAGATACAAGGCACCGAAAAGCCGCTTGGCGGTCTACTTGGTGTAGCGGAAGTATTGGCCATCTTGAACAATGTCTTAATCTGCAGGTGCTGAAACTGTATGGAAATATATCCATCCATCTCTGAACTCGTGCGGGTGAACCAGGAAAGATCACGTGGCTAGGTTACTTGGGGATTCCAATAATACCTTTGGCTTTCTGCCCAAGCTTCATGCACCATAAAGCTAGGCCCTTTCTTAGATTACGTACCAGACGTATGGGTTATCATAACGCCGGGCTGCAGAGAATAAGACAGTATACGAGGAGGGCATCATTACACACAAGAGAAGTTTTTTTTTTCTCCAATAGAAATCTACTGATCTGAAGATTCCCCTGCCTGAATGAACAAGTAGTGTAAGTGATTTGATCAGAACAGACATATTTTGATTTGATAAACTGAAGTGAAGAAAGAAACGCTCAAAACGCCATAAGGAATTCACATAGTGAATCAGGGAGGTGGGGTAATAAACGAAGAGAATAAACAAAGGGAGACCCTTCGCTGTTCCTATTAGAGCAATATTGGTTCAGTGATTAACATATAGATCCCTGAGGCTAATACCGCTGGAACTAGTGAGGGTCATCAAACGCATATGAGCTTCGTGAAGGAGTTAAGCTTTGCGCACGACATTTAGTCGACCTCCTCCATGGAGGACTCGCCGGCGGCGGCGGCAGGAGCAGCCTCCTCGGTGGCAGTCTCCTCGGTGGCCTCGGCCTCCTCATCGATGTTCAGACCGAGGGAGACGAGCTTGTGGATACGCTCAGCGAAGCTGGCGGGCTCCTCAATGGTGAAACCGGACACAAGAAGGGAGGTCTCGAAGAGCAGCTGAGTGATGGACTTGACGGTGCGGTCGCTCTCACCATCAGTCTCGACCTTCTTCTTGAGCTCCTTGACGATGGAGGACTTGGGAGAGATCTCAAAGGTCTTCTTAGAGGACATGTAAGAGCTCATGGAGGTGTCACGGAGAGCCTGGGCCTTCATGATACGCTCCATGTTGGCGGACCAACCGAATTGACCCGTACGGATGGCGCAGGGAGCACCAACGAGCTTGTGGGAGACAACGACCTTCTCGACCTTGTCGCCGAGGATGTTCTTGAGGCTCTTGGCAAGAGACTCGTACTCCTTCTCCTCCTTCTCACGCTCGGCCTTCTCCTCCTCGGTCTCCTCGAGCTCGAAGTCCTTGGTGATGTCGACGAGCTTCTTACCATCGAACTCCTTCAGCTGAGTGAAGGCGTACTCATCAATGGGGTCAACCAGGAAGAGAACCTCAAAGTTCTTCTGCTTGAGGCTATCCAAGAAGGGAGACTTGGCAACGGCCTTGATGGACTCGCCAGTGATGTAGTAGATCTGCTTCTGGTGCTCGGGCATGCGAGTGACGTAGTCGGCAAGGGAGGTGGACTCATCACCAGACTTAGTGGACTGGTAGCGGAGGAGCTTAGCGAGAGTCTGACGGTTCTGAGCATCCTCGTGGATACCAAGCTTGATGTTCTTGCTGAAAGCAGAGTAGAACTTGTCGAACTGCTCGCGGTCCTCAGCGATCTCAGTGAAAAGCTCGAGGGTCTTCTTGACAATGTTCTTCTTGATGACCTTCATGATCTTGTTCTGCTGGAGAGTCTCACGGGACAGGTTGAGAGGAAGGTCCTCAGAGTCGACAACACCCTTGACGAAGCTGAGCCACTCGGGGATGAGGTCAGTAGCATCATCGGTGATGAAGACACGGCGAACGTAGAGCTTGATGTTGTTCTTGGTCTTCTTGGTCTCGAACAGGTCGAAGGGAGCACGCTTGGGAACGTAGAGGATGGCACGGAACTCAAGCTGACCCTCAACGGAGAAGTGCTTGACAGCAAGGTGATCCTCCCAGTCATTGGAGAGGGACTTGTAGAAAGCAGCATACTCTTCCTGAGTGATGTCGGCGGGGTTGCGAGTCCAGATGGGCTTGGTCTTGTTGAGCTCCTCCTCCTCGATCTTGCTCTCCTTGACGGTCTTGGTCTTCTTCTCCTTCTTCTCTTCCTCCTCGTCATCGACCTCCTCGATCTTGGGCTTCTTCTCGTCACCCTCTTCCTCCTTGGACTCAGCCTCCTCATCGGGGACCTCCTTCTCGGTCTCCTTCAGGACGTGGAGGTAGATGGGGTAGGAGATGAACTCGGAGTGCTTGCGGACAACCTCCTTGATGCGGCTCTCGTTGAGGTAGTCGGTCTGCTCATCCTTCAGGTGGAGGATGATCTTGGTACCACGGCCAAGCTGCTCACCCTCGGTGTCCTGGGTGAGAGTGAAGGTACCACCGGCAGCGGACTCCCAGATGTACTGCTCGTCATCGTTGTTCTTAGAGACGACAGTGACGCGGTCGGCAACCAGGTAAGCAGAGTAGAAACCGACACCGAACTGACCGATCATGGAGATATCAGCTCCAGCGGAGAGGGCTTCCATGAACTGCTTAGTACCGGAGCGAGCGATGGTACCGAGGTTGTTGATCAAGTCCTAGAATGGCATGGTTAGCTGTGTGTTACTCCAGAAGAATTGACCAACGGGATCGAACTTACAGCCTTGGTCATACCAATACCGGTATCACGGATGGTCAGGGTCTTGGCCTCCTTGTTGGGAATGATGTCGATACGGAGATCCTTGCCCGAGTCGAGCTTGGAGGGGTCCGACAGGGACTCATAGCGGATCTTGTCCAAAGCATCAGAGGCGTTGGAGATCAATTCACGGAGGAAGATCTCCTTGTTGGAGTAGACAGTGTTGATGATCAGCGACAAGAGCTGAGAGATCTCAGCCTGGAACTCAAAGGTTTCGGCAGACATGATGATGGTAGGAAGAGAAAGCGGATGAGATTCTAGTAGTAGAGAGTGTGGTTAGTTCGTCACTTCCGCCATATTGAGTGAGAGATGAGTTGATGGTGAGGCGTGGAAGGAAGAATATACTCACAAGAAAACGTAGTACGAAGGTGAAGAGGTATCACAAAGTTCTTTCTAATAGAATTGAAGAAGAAGAGAGATGGCGGGAGGAGGGGAAAATAGGAAGATAGGTTTGTAATGGAAGAGAGGTATAGAGGGTAGAGGGGTTGTAGGATGTAGAGAGAAAGAGAGATTGAGAGGTGAGTTGGTAGAAGAGGGAAAAAATAGCAAGCTTGGGAGGAGGGGAGGGGAGGGGGGGTGTGTGAAAAGATGGGTTAGCAGTTTCCAGGCGGACAGCGGGCACCTTATGCTTGCGGCGGCGGAACACAAAATTTGGCTCGATTCTATTCTATGGACTTCTACAGTGGTCTCCGCTGGTCTTTGGTGGTCTCTGGCGCTCTTTGACTTCCCCAGGATCTTCCAGTCCGTTCCACACATTCAGATTGTGTTCCTGAATGACTGATCTAGACGGTTCGATCTGTTGTTGTCAATGGGTGCATACCCAAACACCCAATACTAACTGTGTGTTTACCCCTACTCCGTACGCTGGACTTGCTCTGTCTGTGCATCCATTGCTGTAGTTACGTGAGTTGAGGGACAAACGGATGACTCAGACCGCTGCCTGAGAACCGAGGCGCTTAATCTAGAACGTTCCGCTCCACTCCACCACTAGTTAGTCCCAACACAGTAAGTTACTACCGTACTGTACTAGAGCTGAGGTACCTAGTACGGTACACTCACTAACTAACTTAGGTTACCTTACTCATACCCGCCCAGTCGCCTCTTTCATGTCAAGATCAATCAGTCAATGAGCCTTGCCTCGCCCGCCGCCGCCGCCGCCACCGTCTTTTTGCCTCTCGTTCACTAGTTAGACCTTTTTTTGTAAATAGTTCAAGGTCATTGTTTGGAGTCATCCATTGCCGTCAACTCCCAGGTCTTTCTTTTCCTTTAATTGGCAGTGAGGACATACTGAAACTGCTTTTATTCAACTGCATTTACTTCTCCTGGCCACCATGATTTTGTGCACTTGTGGGCGTCGTAGAGCAAACCCACTCGCAATTCACGAAGATGGTCTCACCCATGGTTCATTCTCAAAAAAGCTTACCAGTCCTACTTCAAGCCACGGCCCTCACCATAGCAATTACCCGCAAATCATCGCCGGCAAGGGAAGAGACACACTTCGGGACACCGTCTAGTTCAAGAAGCTGAAAAACATGGACCATATCATGACGGGCAATAAGCTCGCTATGCTGGAGAGGTAGGACACATTCACAAAGGTCATGAAAACACAATAAATCAGTAGAAAACCAGAGTCAGATAGACGACCAAGAACTGCCCAGTTAGGAAATGATAAGACAACTTTTCCAACCGCTAATATGCATCGTGCCAGAGCAGGGCCACATAACACATGTCATTATTCAGTAAATGGGAAAGGGAGGGGGAAGTAATACATGTCCTGGATCGCCGTGAGCATCTAAAAACATAGGATGGTCCGAAACCAGGATGGAAGGGCTAGAGAAAATCGTTCATGACCAGATAAAGAGATACAGAAGAGAAAAAGAAGGCCATAGACAGCTTTGACCTCACTGAAATACTTTCCGTCATTCCTCAGGCAAGAAACCTGGATTCGTGGAGGTTGTTGAGATTTTGAAGAAGAATTCATATTTTTTTCTCGGTTTCTTTGTTCGTCAGTACGTTGCTGTGGCTTTAAGCAGTCTGGGTTTGGTTGCGACCCTTGGCATTGACATTGCCGCCACGGCCGCGAGGAGCAAAGCCTCCGCGCCCATCACGCTGGAAGCCGCCGCGACCCTGGCTGCCGACACGGTCTCCACGACCACGGCCAGCGCCACCACGGCCAGCATAGCTACCGTTACCACCGTAGGCATTAGTGCGAGCACGGCGCTCCTCAACGTAAATCTGCTCGCTTCCGATCTGGTGGGGATTGGCAGCAACAGCGGCGTTGTAGCCGGCAGCATCGCCGAATTCAACAAAGGCGCAGTTCTACATGGGGGACAGAGAAGGTTAGCGTCGACAATCACACTAAAATATAGGGCCAGGCGAGAGCAATTGCATACCTTTTGGCGGCTCACATCGAAGTGCTTGAGCTTCCCAAAGCGAGATAGAGTCTGCTTGAGCAAACTGGCATCGACCTTTTCCGTGACATTCTTGATGTAAGCAAGAACATTCTGCTCATCAGCCGCGCGAGACTGGGACTTCTTGTGGTCGTGACCAGCGGTTTGCCAACCGGCTCCATCGTTAGAGGAGGGCTGGCTGGGAGCGGACTCAGCAGCGGGAGCGGGAGCGGGAGCGGGAGCTGCGGCGGGAACGGGAGCTGCGGCTTGGGACGAGCTGGCAGAAGCAGCAGCAGGGGCAGCAGCAGGCTTTACTGGAGCGACAGGAATGGCGGGAACCACGGGCACGGTGGCGCCGGACTTGGATGCGATGTTGGCCCAAGTCTTGGGAAGAGCCTTGGCCGCGGGGGCGCTCTCCTTAGCGGGGGCAGGGGCCTCCTTCGGCTCGGGAGCAGGAGTGGGCTCGGGGGTCGCGGGTTCCTCAACCTTGGGCGCTTCAGCAGCAGCGGCGGGCTCAACAGCCTCGACAGCAGCCTCAACTGGGGCCTCCTGAGCCTCGGCGCCATTGGTCTGGGGAGCCGACTGCTCAGCGGGTACTTCCTCGACATTCTGCTCGGCTTGCTCAAGCTTCTGATCAACCTGAGCAGCAGCTGTCTCATTGTCGACCTGAGACTCCTCAACCTGGGGCTCTTCCGCAGCCGGGACAGGGACAGCCTCAGGCTCAGCCTCAGGTTGGGCGGGCTCTTCAGCAGTAGGCTCATCAGCTGGAGCGGTGGGAGCGGCAGCGGGGGCAGCCTCTTCGGTCTCCAGCTCCTCTTCAACATCAACCAGGTAACGGAAAATATCGTTCAGGACATAGTAACCATTGGGCTGCTCGGCCAGGACAAAACTCTGCACGAACTTGCGAGAAGGCTCCAATTTGTTGGAGATTTCGCCAATGACGGAGACGAGGATGTTGTCGAACGACGCCTGCGAGTCAACGTTCAGGACACGAACTTTGCAGTCTTGGAAGTCCAACTGCTTGATCTTCTCATTGATAGCCTGAAAATACATCTAACGTCAGCAATTGCTCATTCCCGATAGCGCGGATGCGATGACTCGCTCAATTGGAGTGCACCTACCTTCTGACCCACTGCAACTGGGACGCTCTCCGCCTCCGTTCCAAAGACGAATTGGGAGCGTTTAGAATAGAAGAACTGGAGCTTCTCCGGACTACGGCTCATGTTGGTATAGTACTGCTCGACAAAGTACCAACCAACCTCATCCTTAGCAATGCCATTCTTCTGTTCGGTCGAGGGCGCGTTCGAGGGAGTGGTAGACTGCGCAGGCTGGAAGTTGGCAGCGCTGTTCACATTGGCATGGGTGTGGTTGTAGGAATCGGGGTACGCATGTTGCGCAGGGTAGCCGTTCAAAGGAGCCTGGGTCGTGTCGGCCATTGTGTGCTGAATCAGAATTTGAGGATTGAGAAACGATGAAGGTGAAGGACGAGGAGGCGTAAATCGCAAGAGCCCAAGGTATAAAGGCTATCAGAACCGAGCTTTATGTGACAGAAAGAAAATAGTGGCGGTGGAGCTCTATCGGGGAGACGCTTTTCACTCGTCTATGAAGCTCTTTGTTAATATTCAACGTGCTTTGGAGATATGGCGTCAGATGAGGGACGAGAGGAAAAAGGCGGAAGCAAAAAGTAATTCATGAATGTGCGATGTTAGAAACGAGGGAGCTGCTCACTGGGTATGCAACAAGCTAGACAAGAAGGACAGAAACAACAATTATGTTCAAGATGTTTGCGCGTCGAAGTCGTCGAAGTGTGAAATAGAAGAGGAAGTCTTGTGCGATTCGGATTTAGACAAAGTGCGGTGCGAAAGGAAAGCCTGAGGAAGAAGTAGATAAAAAAGAGAATTGGGGCGAGAACTTAGGCGTCAAATGGCTGGAAGAAGAATCTGAGAAGCAAGAGAGATTTGAGTGAGGAGCAAGCTGTTAGTGGTTGACGGAGATGGTTTGAGGAAGTGGTGAATATAAGAGGTTGGTTGGTAAGTTAGTGGATGGAAAGGCCTGCTTGGTGCTGGGAGCATCGAACCCAGAAAAGCCCGCTCGGCAGTATGCTCACCGCCTGTCGAATCCAGGCCAGTTGACACCCGAGGCAAGAAATAGTCCCGAACAATAACTTTATGTCTTCGGATAGCTTTCGAATTATGGATGATATATACTTTGTGAGGTCGTGAATCAGTGGTGCCCAGGTCCTAATCAAATATTTAAGGTGTTCCAGGCGAGAGCTCATGCCCACCTGCATGTCGGGAGGAACCATTCTGGGGTATTGCTACCCACCAATCAACCGTCCAGGCAGACTCATTTGACAGGTGTGATCGTTTGCCGTGGATTAGAAGAAAATCTCATCGAGGAATGGTATTTCCAGGCGTATCTACGTGTCTTGGCCTGGCTGAGAGCAACTGTACGACCAATGATAATTGACCACCACTTCGATCCCCATTCTAGAGGTAAGTACATATGGCAGTGATCTGTTCACTCGGCTATACATCTGAAGAAACACAAGCACTGCCTTTCAAGTATAACATCAAGTACTCCAAGGATCTTTCACATAAGTCAGATGTAACGAACAAGTAGATTCATGGAATATGTAATGGCAGCCACAAGAGGCATTGAATTCGCAGAAACAGAACAGCTGGCTCGAGGCAGGGGTATGAAAACAGATATTAGACAGGCTTCTCATCCAGAAAGTGATAAATATCAGACGCGTTTGAAAGGGTTCCGTCGCACCCGATACCGACAGGCGGAGGGAAGAAGTGACTTTGGGTCCCAGGGTGCGAGGGTTCCGATCACAAAAAACCATAAGAGTCATGCACGGTAAGGGTCGACATCTCAAAAAAGGCACCGAGATTCATATCAAGGGGACGCAGTCGAGTCGACAACGGCCTTCTCATTCAAGGTGGGCTCGCGCATGATGGCATCCTGGCCTGTCATTCTTCGGTCGAGGGCGCGCTCGACTTTCGCTCCCAGCGCCAATTTGCTGAGGTTGTCGCTCTTCTCGGGGGTGGGAACAAAGCGCTGCTTCAGCAGGGGCTTGTTCTCCAATCGCTCCAAGCCGTCCCGCAGATGGTGAAAGTCGGCCAGTCGGGGATCCCCACTGGGCAGACTCGAGAGATCCGATGACGCAACCGAGGGGCTCCCGCTCACAGTCGAGAATCTCTTCGACGTCCGGTTCTAAAGCCTCCGGTCAAAATCCAAGCACCATATTCCGGGAGTAATAGGCTTACAGATTGAGCCATGATTGGTCTTTCGGAGTCGAGCGAGGTGTGTCTGGCCATAACTGGACAGGGAGGATCCCTAAGGAAGGGGTGGGGAGTGGAAAATTGAGTAAACTTCCGCTGCTGGCAGTTGCGCAATGAGGTAGGTTATTGTGACTAGACGTGGGTTTAATTAAACATGATTAGCGATTGACGGGTTCACTGCACTGATACATAGGGGCATGAGGGCAGAGAATGTCATAATACTAAGGAGGTCATTGCGATCTCTCCTTTCATATGGAAACTTAACAAGACGGCGGGGATAAAATCTAGCACTGGCACCCACGCTAAAAGGAAATCGGACGGGCGAAATAGGGCTTGCGCAAGTATGCATACCTCTTAAGGGGTCACAGTCGGAAAGGGGCGACGCGACACTATTGTCTGTTCTTCTACCGGAGGAACGATGAGGAATAGGGGAACAGTTGCGTAAGAATTAGGGGAAGATAGAGAGATAGAGTATGTCTGTGAGAAAGCGCGAGAGAGAAGGATGTTATAAGAGAAAAAAAGAGGAGTGGAGGACAAGGGTAAAGTAAAGGTAGTAAGCAAGAAACCGGAGGTAGGCGGCGTAGGTGAGGTGAGGTGAGGTGTGTACGTGCGCACATGCGTTGAGCGTTTGTTCGAGGATTCGGGGGGGTGGGAGGGGAGATGTCAGTGGGTCGCCCGCAGTAGGAGCGGTATTTTTTTTGGCTCTATGTAATAAGAGAATGGAAATGGAAAAAAAAATCCTAGAAGTAATAGATATACTCAAGTAAAATGCCCATGGCCACGAATCCTATAAAAGTCAAGGATTTACAAAGGAATTTGAGCTCTAACCTTGTCTATCTGAAGTTTTCACTTTTTCCTTTTCTTTACTCGCCCTCTCTCTCTCATCCTCTTTGGTCATTGTTGGCATTGGCAATTCAATTCATACTCGTACCCCTGGTTAACTTACAACTTAACTTACAAGCGACAACCCGGGATGGAGTTAGGTGGTCATGTCCGTACTCGGGATCTAGCCCGGTCAGTGGCTTCAAGGTTGTAGTCAACCTATTTTTTTTTTCGCCCACTGGTAACACAGCCTTGCAGTGCAGCACGCCACACCATGTCAGACTCTCCGAGATGGTCGGCTCGACTAAGTATTATGAGACATCGGACGGATAGCAGCTTGATCATCAGACAGGGGTTCTCTGCTGTTGGAACACAACTTAGACAAAGTCACTACCTACTCATACTAGTTACGGGCTGGGGCGGATTGTCATATCACCCCGGCTCCTGATCCTAGAGTAGGAACAATTCATGAAGATCGGTTTGGCTGAACACTGCGACCACTAATTGCCCTGGCTTCCCGATAGCTACTCACAAGGAAGGTGATTGATTTTTACGGAACGTATAGAGGAACAAAGTTGATTAGTTGTTCCTGGTTATTCATTGATCGGGATCGCCTAGAGGGGGAAAAGTGCTTTCTTTGTCTCTGCGGGCTGGTGCAGTGTGGTTATCGAGATCCAAGACGATCTAAGAGCAGCGATAAGAGGGAATCAGAGCATGAGGCGGCCCTCCATCAGCACCATAATAGATTAAAGCCAGAACCAGCCCGTTGTCTGCCACGTGCTAGGGATTGCCCATATTGCCACGCGAGCTGATCTCATAGCTTGTGACAAAGCATGGGAGGAAAGAAGAGGAGGGGAGAAAAGGTGGCCTGCACATTGTACTCAATCGGTCTTACCCGAGGGAGGAGGGGAATTCGGCGTATTCAAGGTTACTCCACGTAGTTACTCTTTATCTCCTTTCAAGCAGATGTCAATTCATTGGACATAGCATGGTATGGCGTTGCATACCTACCTTTACCTCTAAAGCTATCATGCCCGTAAGAGTGGAAGTCTTTATTGGTTATTGTCAAGCACCTAGAGCGACCTGTTCTGTAGGTATCAAGTAGAGTACTATGTAAGTTCAATTGCGAGGTGTGCGACCTGCTGGGATAGACAAGCAGATCACAATCCTTGTGTCAGAGGCTTGTTCAACATTTGCAAGACAACCGGCTAACACTTTCTTGAAGAGACATTATGCTTTCTGAACTCAACTCGCGGGTACTGTACAACCCTACACAGGAAAATCACGTGTAGACTTTGCAGGTTCAATGAGTCTCAGACAAGAGCTCTGATTGACCCAAATGAGGGTTGTTGTTCGGCGATCCCCGCCCGGACTACGGATAGGAGTCGCAGCGTATTGTATATACTATGTAGTACATAGGTAGTATGCTGTAGTTGTCTAGAAAATAGTGAACGTCCATCTATGATCTATGGTTATTGTCGTTGTACTCCGTAGATTCAAGCATTGACTTTCACTTGACAAAGAAAGGCGGTGTCTTCGACATGGCTCCGTCACCTGATGCGGGGAAAAAGAAATCTGACGACGGAAAAGTACGTACGCCGCCTGGAGTTCCACTAGTCCTCAGCTCTCAAAAGAGACTTTCATCTAGTAGTCGGGTTAAGCTTATACTATTATCTCGTCTTGTATTATGTTGTACACTACGCTGAGTCTCATTGACAAACCCATGCAATAGTAGACTCAACCTGGGAAGAATTCAACAATATTGTTCCAAACAGATAATCAAAAGGAAAACAAGAAGGGACAGTTGATAAAAAAAAAAAAGAATGCCGAAGCCAAAGGCCTTCCTCAAGGAAGCGAAAACCAAAAAGAAAGCGGCACAACGAGTATGAATTCCATAACGGCTGTTTGTTTCTTGCCATACTAATGGTTCATCTCAGGCCCCCGAAACCTCTGATGAATACCTTGCACGTATGTCACAAGACTACCTATGCCTATAGACGCCGTTGCGTAGGTCGGGTGCTAAGGTACGAGACTAACGGAGCCCCATTAGTCGGTGTCGAACAGGAAGAAGCTGGAGAAAAATGGCGGGCTGGAGACGCTGCCAAATCGCTGCGCTTCTTCATGCGTGCCATTAATACCTACGATGAAGGCTTGATCAAGCACCCAGGTGCATTTGACTTGGCCTATAACAAGTGAGTGGCAAATCATCCTCAGCCTGCATTGTTGATTCACCGAGGGTTGTGATTGTTTCTTTGAATGCCTGTTTGACATACAGTAGAGCTCGAGTACAATATGAAATCACACAGCATCCGAAATTGAAAGCCCAGTTGTCGGCCCCATTGACTGATGTCCTGCAAGAGGCACTGGAGTCCCATAAAGTGGCGCTTGCTCTAGAGCAAGATAATCCTGACGCACTCTTCAACACAGGCCAGGTGCTTACAAGCATCGCTGAGATTTTGACCGATTCGAAGCACCCATCCGACGAGCGCCTATCGCAGGCTGTAAAGCTTCTGCAGGAAGCGATCGAGCTCTTCCAGCGTTGCCTGCTTCTACAGGAGCTGAAGTTTACAGAAATGCAGGAACAAATCAAACAAATGGAATCTGCGGACGACCGACAACCAGAGGTGGAGACGCAGAACACACAGAAGACTCCCGAGCAACCATCGGAGTCGAAACCAACGGACGAGCAAGAACAATGGGCTGCAATTATAGAGCCAGTGACAAAGGATACATTGGTGGACACGGCAGTAGCACAACTTGATACATTGACAACTCTCTGCAACCTGCTTACATTCAACCCTGGGGTCGGCCTGGGATGGGTGGAGGATTTTTCATCCGACCTCCTGCAGAAGCGCATCTCCGCTTATGTGGAGGGATCGAGCAGACATTATGAGGCAGCTTTGGCCAAAGCCAAATTCACCTGCGGGCTGAACGAACTGCTCTATCGAAGCGGCCAAATCGAGGCTGAAACGTATTCCAGCGAGGTCTCTCAAGCTTTTGGCGCAGGTTTAGATGTCTCTTCCGATACAGGTGGTCTCTGTAGCAAAGCAGATGCGCTGACGTCGTTCAACACTGCCCTCATCGATCTTCCTCCTTACGAGCCTGGACCGTTCACGAGAGCGTTGTCATTGCGGTGGCAGGCACTTTCTGCGGCACTGGACGCTCTCACAAAAGCATCTAAGCATCCCGAGGCAGATGACTTGCCCAAGATCCACCTAGCCAGGGGAGACGTGGAAATAGCTAGGTGGAGGCTTGGCATGCCTCCCTGGAACTATGCCATGGCTCAGCAATATGGAGCCACACTGCTGCGCAACGCGCAGACATACTACCGAGGCGCCGCAGCACTAGCCAGGAGAGACGGAGCCTCAGAGGAGTCGCGAGACGGATCGTGTAAAGAAGCCATTGCAGCGGCCCTGGAAGGACAGAAGCAGAAACTGGAGGAGCTCAGGAGAGCCGCGCCAAAGGAACTGATGATGGTAGCCGAAGATGTCGTCGACGATGGATGGATGAGCCCTGGTGATATGGAGATGCTTCTGTCATAGACATACCACGGGGCGTAATATACGATTCGCCGTTTTTCGAATTTCAGAAGTTGCCCGTAATATGATATCGTGTGGATACGAGAGTTCAATCATATCTCAGACCGAGCTCTGATTTCCTCATCCATCTCTGCAGCCTCCTGTCGTAGATTGTTATCGCTGCCGAACTGCGTCGCAGCGGCAGCAGCGACCTCCAAGTCCGCAACAACAGACTCCAAGCCTACGAGCAGGTCCTGAATCTCCCTCCTTTGCGCTTGCACCCGTTGCGCCAGCTCTGAATTCTCATCTTGAACCGATTCGATCTTGTGGTTCAGAGATGACTGCGTTTCACGCATATATGGCAGGAGATGGGATCGAAATAGTTCATCAGGAGGCAAGGTATGCGGACTATTTGTAGAGACGCTCGGTCAGTCCATCAATCGCCGTTACGCACAGAACCACCCCCCCCCCCCCCCTTCCAAAAAAAAAAACAAAAAAAAACCAGGAACAATAAAAGAGCGACGGGAGAAGATAAGAACTTACGCAACAGTCTCCTGTCCAACCCCATGATCCTTCCTATACTTCGCCTCCCCGACCAACCTATCCAGCTCATTCAATTGCCGGACAGCATCCCGTTCCGTCAAGATGTCCTCAAACTCCGCTTTCGCACTCTCCTCCAACTTCGCATTCAACTGCCGCCAAACCGACTCCAAGCTGGCGGGGACATGCTTGGCGGGGGTGGGGAAACAGCTCGAGAAGTTCGCATATGAGTTTGCGCGCAAGGTACGCGCAAGTGCTTTGTCGAAGATCTCTTGCAATTTGGCGACGCGTGGGCCGGGGGTTGATGCGACAGGGGCAGGAGGGGGAGGAGAGGGGGAGGCAGCGGCTTGGGTGGTGGTGCTGTTCGCGGGATTGGTATCTTCGGTCATTTTGGGGTGGAATGTGTTCAACCAGGTGATAGAGGAGACTGTATGTCGGGGTGTTTTCTTTTTCTTTTCCTTTTCTCTTTTGCTGTAATCCTTCTTTCTTTTCGTATCTGTGTGATCTTCTTATTTCGCCTGCGATTGAGTTGTTAGGCAGGGTTTCTTCGATCGATTGTGGCCGAAGATGCTCTGGAGTGGAGATGGGTTGGGGAAATTGCGATGGATGCATGGGCGAGACGCGCCGGAAGACGCGCCCCTTCACGTGACTCTCTATACTAGAGATTCCACTACTCCATACATACAACGATGATGATAATGCTGATCACGGAGGCTTGAGAAGTATTATAAAAAGATGTAATTCTGAGATCTTACTTAGCTAGATATTCATAGTAAGTCTAATTAGACACGACAACGCTGTAGACTCAGAAACTGGAATACATAGAAGAGAAATCAAAATGATCTATTATACAAGCACGAAAGTAAGTTTGGGATTATCTACCCAATGTGTTTGAAAGCCCCGTCAGTGGTAGGCTTGTCTTCAGTGAGTCAAGAAAGCTTCGCCGTTCGCATTGCAATTTCACTGTGGGCGCTCGCGCTCGGACTCAATTGACCTTGCCTGGTCTCGAGCCTGAACGCCAACCTTCCTATTCGAGAACAAGAGTTCTTCAAATGCTGGCCATGAGATTGACACATATATGATACTATTCCAGAATCCCTGCAGTGGTAGCACCAGACCCGAGATGTAATTCAACTCAAAGCTGACCTTATGCGGGAGCACCAGTGAATAGACTCGATTGGCCGTTGATGGCACCTGTGCAATATCAGCAATCGCGGTCCAGATCGAGAGGGGCAGCGAATACTTACCCATGTGATCAACAGAGCAATGAAGAAGAGGATCGCATATTTGCTGTAAGCCCATGCTGCCGAATTCGTTTCCATCACGGTCGCTCGGCGTTGGATGCCGGCGCTGACCTGGTCATGTCCGTAAGATTGCTCTGCAGCTTTCTCGCTATCCTTGAGATCGCTTCCAGCTTGAATGGTGACTGAATATGGGCAATAGAATGTGTGCAGACTCTTGGTCGATATCGGGTCTTCATTCCCCTCCAGCGGCACTTGCACAGTGTGCACAATCTCCCGGGTTATGGAAAACTCGGTCACTTTGGAAAGTTGGATGTTTTTCAAGCTAGCTGTGGTGCTGGAAGAGTCTGTATTTCCAGCACGGTTCAGTTGCTGCCGCTTCTGATAGATAACACTGCCTGTGCGCACATAGATAAAAATGGTCAAGCACATAATCAACCACACTGGTCCGTAAAATAGGGCAATGCGTAGAAAGTCCCAAGGGGTCGAGACCCAACACCAAAGCTACAAGATCGTCTCAGTATGAAGGAGCCTGGTGGGACTGTCCAGATACTGTGGGTGCACTTACTGTGGCCGCGCCGTAGATCTTGCCCCGAGTCTTTGTCTCAATGAAGAAATATATAAATGCAGGAATGAAAGGCAACCCGTAACAAGCCACTAGGTACTTTACCTCCAGTCGTCGCAACTGTTCAGAGTCATACTTGTGGAAGAAGGTCAGCCAGACATTGCAGGCCATAGCAAATGTCCACAGGGCATCAGCAGGCATAAACCTATCATTCCAAGTCAGTGATGGCTGCCATGCGACAATAGAGACATATGAAAAGCAAACCATTGGATCAGGAAGCCCTGGAACTGGCAGAGGCCGCTTGCAGTTCCCAACCGGACTCCTGACTGAGACATCAGTGTCGCGACATTGGCCATCATGTTGCCCCATGATGCATAGAACACTAGGCGATTGATGGGCTTGCGGAACGAAGGAGAGGAAAGGAAAGAAATGACGATGATGAAAGTTCCCAGAAGAGACACAGCCGAACATACACGCTCTGTTATCGAGATGGCTTGTAGTTGTGATCGCGATAGCGACATTGTCTCACGACGAGGCAAAGCTGATGCAAATAGCCACAGAACGAATCTTCATCCCCATCCTAAAATTCGCAGAGGCCCCGGTTAGATATATCAGATATCCCCAAGGTTTCTCCTACAAGTCGACAATGGTCGGGACTCTAATGCCCATTCGAGGACATGATCCAAGCCCCTATAGTCTCGGCACTACCGATAATGTCGGGGTTCAACCTTCAGAAGTAGAGGAGCCAATCGCTTCTGGGTGCAAACCAACATTGCGAGAGAGTCTGAAAAGAAACACGGTGGTAAATATCCATACGCCGTCGTGAGCTTTTCAGGACTCAAGACACCAAATGAGACTACTTCATACGTTATTCTCATTGTTATCGATTGAATGATGGGAGGCAGAGCCCCTGTTCAAAGGATTGGAAGTGACGAGACCGGTCTTCATGTCCCAAACGATTGTCCCAGAGCCATGGATAGGACGATCTTACCCTCATCAATCATAAATCCCTCGAATTGTCTCTCTATCCTTATGTGGCATGTCCATCGGCAGATTCATGCAACGAGCCTTACAGTAGGAGGAAATGGTGGTAGGTGTTGATGTTCAAGGGCGAATGAACCTTGTTTCTAGAAAAAAAAAAAGGGGGGGGGGGATAGGAAATTAAATGATTGGTATAGGGCAATAGGCAATAACACTAGGTCAGCAGAGCAGGAACTTAGAGGATCATGATGCTCTTAGCACCTGCATAAAGAAACAGCTGGTGTAACAAGTTGGATTGGCGGCGGAGCCCTATCTGAGGATGCAATGTCGATCATCATTTTCGGGTTAGGAGTGAGCACTAGTCAGTCTGGAGTGGAAGCAAGGAAGAAAAACAATCTAGAATTTATACGAGTACATTCCGAATATGTGCTGTCACAACTACAGGTCTCACCCCCACTTGATTCTTCATCATCGGTCCAGAAAGCATGGTTGTCCATCCCAATGAAAATATAAAGTACGGAGAGAAAGATTGCTTACTGGGTCATAACCCCAGTGATCACTGATCAGAACATGCATGCCTCCTGAGCCCTTACTGTGGATATGCATGGCCGCCTGATTGGAACCGATGCCCTGCATCGCAAGCGACAGGGCTGACGCTATATGCTCATTCAGGCGCCTGGCACATTACAATTTAAGAAACCACGAGTACATATACGGGGTGATAGCAGATGGAGCAGACACGAAATGATAATCAAAGTGTAGATTGTGATTCCCTACTGGCGATATCATCTCGCATACGCTAATATAAGCTGGAAGAAAGACGGGAATCTGCGAGAACCAAGGACAAACAAGAGAACACCACATCGAGCCCTTCTTCAAGTATAACGCCACGCTCTCCGTTCTAGAACCAATCCAAGTGCTTCATCATGTCCTTCATCTCATGAAAAAAAGTCAATAAGGTGCAAAGGTAAGATATAACCGCAGAGCACAAATCAGAACACGAGTTGCGATGATAGAAAGTGATAATTCTCGACTGCTGATGGCTAATACGCTTGCTGGGGAGGAACCATCCCGCCATATGCCCCGGACATCTGTTGCTGTTGCTGCTGCTGCTGTTGCTGCAGCTGCGCCTGCAACTGAGGGAGATCGTGGAACCAAGGATGCTGCAGGGCGTCGTGGGCACTGATGCGCATCTCGGGACGAAGCTGGAGCATCCGATTCAATAGATCCAGTCCCAGAGGATCGATCTGGGGGAGAATTAACCCAAGATCTTGGGTTGCATACACGTGGAAATTCGACTTATACTCCGGCAGTTGAGAGATGCCGGGCCATGAGCGCTCCGAAGGTGTGCCCATAAGGCGGAAAATCTTTTGGAGTTGATCTTCATTGGTAGTGCCAGGGAACAGGGGACGACCGGTGTAGAGTTCTGCCATGATACAGCCAGCCGACCAGATATCAATACTCGTGTTATAAGTTCTGCTGCCTAGCAAGACGTCTGGGGCACGGTACCACAGCGTCACAACCTCGTTGGAAAAAGTGTTGACGGGAATACCGAAGGCACGGGCCAGACCGAAGTCCCCGAGTTTCAGCTGTCCTTTCTTGTTGATAAGAAGGTTCTGGGGTTTGAGATCACGATGCAGAACCCGGTTTTCATGGCAGAAAGCAATGCCCTTCAAGAGCTGATGCATGAATGACTTGATGGTTGCCTGGTCCAGTTGACCCCGATCGCCCCGGGTATCCATGTACTTCTTGAGATCCTTATCCATATATTCGAAGACAAGCATCAGCTTGTTCTCTGTGTGGATCACATCGTATAGCGAAACAATACTTTCATGTTTGAGCTCCTTCATCAGAGAGATTTCGCGAATCGCGGTCGATGGCGTTCCTTCTTCGGAGTCTAGATGGATCTCTTTTAGGGCAACCAGCTCACCAGTTTGGCGATTCCGTCCTTTGAAAACCTAGGATAACCATCGGATAAGTATTTAGATCGACTTATAGTGTGGGTCGTCACCACGCGCAGCAGCGAAGGCGGGAAAGGGGGAAATCACATACGGTAGCATAGGTACCCTCTCCAAGCTAGAATCGACCAAGCCAGAGTTAGTAAGGATATTGAGAGTGTATAAGGCGTCGAAGATTAAGGCTCTTACCTTCTCCAGCTGCTGGAAAGAGCTGGGCTGTTGCTTGTCCATTGCTGGCGACGCGGTGGTGAAGGTTTCCTGTGCGACCGATGGTTGGGGGTGAAATGATGGCGGTTTAGGCCGCTGCGAGTGAGTGAGAAATGACTTGGGCGAAACGAGGGTGGAGATGAGGTCCAGATAGGCGGTACGCTGCAAGGAAGGGTTGGAAGCAGGTCGTGAACTGTTGCGACTGTCCATGGAAATGATTGATGCTAGAAGGGCGGGCAACAACGGTTAAGTCAACCAACTGAGCCCCGCGCCTGGGTCGGAGATGGACAGGCGGAGAGAGAACCAGACAGCAGGAGGCAGCAGACTTAGCCCAGTACGTTCCAGGTTCCAGGTTACCGTACGGAGTACGGAGTACCTTCCCTTGACTTTGCCGCCCGGCTTGTCCTCCGCTACGGCCAGTCACCGGCAGGTACTGGACTTCGTGGGTACCTAGTAGGTAGGTGACTATAATTGTAGTATTTTCTAGATGCAGTTAATCCTCTAACAGAAACTGCTCCGTTTGTGTTCTTTTCTGTTCTTTTCTGTTCTATTTCTTTTTCTTTTTCTTTTTTTTTTTTTTTTTTTTTTTTTTTTGGAATTCAAGATTGAAGAAGAGAAAGAGCCATTTTGTGTCTATACTACGAAGTATTGTACTACTGTACATGCTGGCGATTATCACCGTTCACAATGAAACTCTGTCCCCTTTCTCTCTCCCACACTCTCTTTCTATCGTCCTATGCACACGACACGACTTCTGATGGAATCTAATGAACCAGAATAGGGAGTTGGGTAGCCACCGGAGCTAGAATTGACTCCGAAGGTAGACTAAGGCGAATAAATCGCGACATGGCTTCGCGATCTCCTCCAAAGAGAACCGCTTCATTCCGGACGCCTCCAATATTGATAATACCAATAGGCATGCCTCTTTTGTAGGCTCGTTCCACTAAGCGCCAGGCTGAATACGTTGCGAGACTGCTTCCCAAAACCAGTAGTCGTCCAGCGTCATCGATCGCTTCTTCTGCCGCCGCCTTTACGGCAGGATCGATGTTCTCGCCAAACATGATGACGCCGGGTTTCAAAATCCCGGCAGTGGATGTGGGAAGCCAGGCCCCGTCCGCTTCAACTTCCACCCTTGCTAATGTACCATCATGCAAACGCGGAGGCTTCTCCAGGCAGGTCGGACAGGATGGGTATCGGAACGTCGAGTATGGCGCCTCCGGCAGATCGACGTCACCATCGGGATTGATTTTCAAACCCCTCCGCCGTTGCTCCTCCCGGTTATTGGTATCCAAGGCGCCAAGATCAGTCATCTTTGCCAGAAACTCGGCCCAAGCCGGGTTGAGTCTTTCGAGCGATCTCTGGAAATCATCTCGAGGCACCTGGTTTCGGCAGTTGACGCAAACCACCGATCTTAAGTAGCCATGCAGCTCCAGGGTAGGCAGCTCGGGATGGGCGATGGAATGGAAGGAGTCCACGTTCTGGGTAATCACTGAACTGATATAGCCCTTGGCGCCGATGTCCCGGATGGCCAAATGCGTTGAATTGGGCTTCGACTTCAAAAGGCCCGGCCACCCGATGAAACTGCGAGCCCAGTATCGTTTGCGGGACTCGTGGCGTGTGACAAATTCGTGGTAGTAAACCGGTCTATATGCTTTGTTGGTTCGATATGTGCCATTCTCCCCTCGATAGTCGGACAAACCCGATGCGACCGAGATGCCTGCGCCCGTTAGGAGCACAGTCTGGGCATGTCTACCGACGTCCACGCCACGCAGGTAAGGGGAGGGCGATGCTGTCAGAAATGATCGGAGGGCATCAATGGCACCCGCAACTGTACGAGCTGACGAAGGAACAATGATAGGAGGAGGTAAGGGCCCGGTAAAGGGGATCCTAATCGAAGGTGCAGTCATTGAGAAGCCTCATATTGAGGAAAATGGAAAATGGGGGGATGAGGCGAGGCGGAGTGGGCAGCAGGAATAATTAACTTGAGTTAGATAATGAACGAATGTACAGTCCTTAGTAATAATCAATCATCGGATCCCGTCAATAATGTTGTCAGTATTCCGTAGTTAAGTCGACTTGACTTGGTTTGAACTTTCCAACTCTTACTCAATCGGTTGTTGATTACTGTACAAGTACTGTAACTGGTTAGTTACAGTACTTGGTAGCTTATTAACAGCAATTTAGCAGCTGTCCGGAGTAGAGTACGCAGTGACCAGTCCGGGGGTCCAGGCTAGTCGACTCGTACTATATTAAGCTGGTAAGGTACTTACCTGTACGGTAAGTATAGTACACCTAGTAGTACTGTACCAAGTCAACAAACTCAGAGGAAGATCCCTGATTTACCCCGGATTGTATCACGTGACTGTCATTTCCTTCTCCTCCTCCTCGGCAGAGTCTGCGGACGTCATTTCTGGCTCTTTATTGTCAGTTCAATTCCCACCATTCAAGCAGAGGTAATTGAGCGTCAATAGGGAGCAGATCTCTATCACGCTCTAGCCAAATCTACAGCAATACACCATAACGACAACTACAAGAAAAAAAAAAACCCGGTCATGTTTCCCGCACAGACCGGCAACATCAATCTAGAAGCCCTGAGTGGAATATGTGGGTAGGTGGCCGCTCACCAAGCTCTACCAAGTTCCCATCGGATACGGTAGATCAGTTCGTGTTTTCTCTTTCTTCTATACTGACGTAAAGACCAGATCGATCTCAATTGCCTGCTGGGTGGTCGTTTTTTCGCCTCAAATCATTGAGAATTTCCGCCGTGGATCCGCCGATGGCCTTTCACTGCTCTTCCTGATCGTCTGGCTTGCCGGTGATGTCTTCAACATCCTCGGCGCCGTGCTACAGGGTGTCCTGCCGACCATGATAATTCTCGCCGTCTACTACACCCTCGCCGACGTCGTCCTTCTCGCCCAATGCTTCTACTACCGGGGGTTCACCCTCCGAGACGAGGAGCCATCCCCGCGGCAGCGTGCCTCAGCAGCTTCCTCCATCCATGACGAGGAAGAAGCCGACGATGAGGAGACGGAAGTGCCTTCCCCGGTGATGGCCCGCAAGCCGACGGAGCAGACCGCGCTCCTTGGCTCCCCCAAACGGCGCGGCGGCGGCCCGTCCTACCAGGCCAGCAACACCACCAGCTCGGCATCCTCCGTAACCATCACCCCTCATCACCCGCAAGACCACCACCAACGACCGGTCCCGCTCACAAGTAGTCGTCGGCACTCATCCGCATCGTTCCTCCACCCCTCCATCGACGGCACCCATCTGTCCCCGGTCACGCCCTTCATCGAACCCGTCAAGGAACCTCGGCCCCCGCGCACGCTGACTACCCTGCAAACCACCCTCTTCCACGCCTCGGCCATCACCCTCGTTTGCGCCGCCGGCGTTCTAGGCTGGTACATCAGCCAACGCACCGCCCAGCCTTCCGGCGACGACGACGACCACCACCACCACGACACCTCTTCCGCCTCGGATGCGTCGCTCGAAATGGATCCCTTGGGCCAGGTCTTCGGTTACCTCTGCGCCGCGTTGTACCTCGGCTCGCGCCTCCCGCAGATCCTCCTCAACTACCGCCGCAAGTCGACGGACGGCGTCTCCCTCCTGTTTTTCCTATTCGCATGTATCGGCAACCTGACCTACGTGCTGTCTATCCTGGCGTACTCGCCCGTCTGCGCCGCAGATACCAGCAGCTCGCGCGCGAGCTCTCCGCCCCAACCATCCCATGATCCGAGACGGTGCTCCCCGGCCGAGCTCTCCACCAAGTACGGTCGATACATCCTCGTCAACCTGTCCTGGTTGATTGGGAGCTTCGGCACATTGCTGCTGGATATGTGCATCTTCGTTCAATTCTTCTTGTACCAAGAAAACACGAGCGAGGAGGTCTCAACGGGTGTCAGTGTAGACGAAGATGAGACCGTTCGCGGATGACGACGACGACGACGAAGCTGAAGCTGAAGCTGATGATGTTGATGTTGATCATGATGATGATAATGAAAATATCTTATCGTTTTGGGTGAGTAGTCCTACTTTTCGACTACGGAGTTGGTGGTTTTGAAAGAAAAAGTTTCCTCTTCTTTAAGAAAAAAATCTTGATTTCCCTGTGGAATTATTGGTATATTGTGTGGCATATCTTTGGTCAACTTGGTATCTGGTGTTCGCGAGTTCTGCCTAATGCGCCCCAGCCAGCGGTCATCTTCATTCTCCACTGTATCTATATATACTTATACGGACCCAAGAGCTTAGAGCAGAGATAATAGACATTGTATCTTGTCTCTCAATTTGTCAAATGTAGATTAATGGCTTCAAACGAGGATTGGCAGTTACAACACCTTCTTGCCCGCCCGCAGCCAGTCTCACCTGGGAGCCGGAAAGCGAACATGACCAGATCCATCAGCCATCAGCTAACGTACATCCATCCCCTTAGGCTCCATAATTCACGCAACACGCAAGGAGAAGCAAGATGCACCTTGAAAACACCCGCTGGTAATCAATTCCGGAAAGGACAATTTCTTTTCTTCAACGCAGAACCTCCCGCAAAACTCCATGATCACCGCCGAAAAGGAAAGTTTCCATCCAGACAAAAGAGACGCGCCTCCCTCCTCACAGACCAGACTCCAGGCTTTACACCCCATTATAGACTGGAGGTTCATAGCCTTGGGAGACGATGTCTCTCATCAAGTCAGAGAACTTGACTCAGTCACTCGGCGGGCTTACCTTCACCGGCCCCTGTCTGACCTCCTCCCAATTCGTACTCAACGATGTGCCTTGGCTTTCGATGTAACTCTTCATCATAGCGCGCCGGGTATCCGGGTCAGCATTGGCGTACAGTTTTTTGAAGAACGAATCGACCGCGTCGCCGCCATCGGAGTCATTCCCTTCATCGTCACCGTCACCGTCACCCACAGACTTGTCGTCGGGTTGGGAATCCTTGGGGGCCTTGGCGGTGAGGGTGGAGGCGAGCTTGTCCCAGTCTTTGGCGCCATGGCGGGAGGAAGTCGGGTATGCTGGGCCAGATGCTGTGTTGGGGTTGCCAGCGGCCATTGAGGAGGCGGCGGCAGCAGCTGTCGCAGCCTGGCGATCCGCGAGCTTAATCGTCGACGGGGTGGATTCGAGGGCACTCCATTTCTGGCCGGGGGTCTGTTTGCGGAGGACGAGTTCGATCTTGGTGGACATGACGGTCGCCTTGGAGGCGGATGGGTCGATCGGGGCGAAGAGCGGGTCGAGGGTGAAATCGTATTGAGCACCGGAGGGGAGGGGGAACTGCAACGAGGCCTGTTCGTGGGAGGTTAGGAGCGACGATCAACGTTATTACCCACAAGTTATGCAAGAAATGCACATACCGAGTCACTCTTGAGATCCACGTCCAATCGATCCTTGGGAACACCCTTGATATAGAGCGTCACGACCACCTGGTCTTGCGATTGGTACCACTCATGGCGGACCGTCGCAGCAGCAGTGGTCACCGCCGCATGAGCAGGAGCAGGAGCAGGAGCAGGCGTCTTCGCACCAGCACCAGCACCAGCACTCTCCTTCCCACCAGCAACAATCCCGTCTTGGCTGCTCACAGCTTTGCCCCCCTTCAAACTCTCCAATTGCCCTCTTAACTCCCTCTCAGTAGGCACCTGGACCCCCTCGGGCACCTCGCCAACCGTCACCCCAACAACCTTTTCATCCGCACACCCCTCCTCGGCCAACTTGCCCAACCGTCCCTTGACCTTGAGCAACCAGATCGGCAACTCCTGCTCGAACCCATTCTTCGAACCCGCGGGCTTGTTCGCCACCGACATCGCACTCATGAGCTTGTCCTCGACCCCCGTGCCCTTCCCGTCCGCAGCCTTCGCCTTGTCCGCAGGACCGTTCACCTTCTCGTCAACCAATCCGAACACGAACCCCGCATCCCCGAACCGTCCCAGCTGGAAAAGCGCCACCGCGCGTCGCATCTGCGCCGCGAGGATCAACTCCCGCTTGCCGCGTTCCCGGGCCTGGAGCACCGCGACCTCGGCATCCCGCAACGCCGCGAGCGAGTCGGCAGGTTTCAGCCGCGAGAAGGCGGTCGAGCGTTTGATGTAGTAGGCCGGGGCACGTGGGGAGGCGAGAAGGGCGGTGGTGTAGTGGAGGAGGGCGCGGGGGTAGTCGGACTGGGTGCAGGCGGCGTCGCCTTGGGATGCGGCGTCCATTTTGCGTGTGTGTGTAGGGGAGTGTTAGTGCGTGTGTATGTTGTGTGTGTGTGTGTGTTTGTCTTGCTTTTCGTCTTTGAATCCTTTCGGGGTGGGAAGTAGAATCCGGGGGAATCTGCAGAATGACGAGGTCGGGTTGAGGACTTGGTGTCTGGGTCGTTGGTGGGGCAGTCGGTTGAGCTCTGGGATTGTGTCAGCGCTAGCTAGCAAAGGCAGATAGATCCACTAGAAGTACAAACACTGAAGAGCTTCGATACACATCTCTTGTAAGAGGAAGCGAGCGCAAGCAAGGGTGAGGAATAGGAAGAGACGAGAAGTGAAGCGGGGAACAACAGCAAGGCAAGGGAAGGAAGTAGAAAGTTGGAGAAATCGACCTGCGGGGAAAGAAACAAAACACAGCCACGTGATCCATACTTGGAGATCCGTACGAAGTACGGAGCCGTGTCCCAAAAGTTATTGAACTGCGCTAATCTTCTTAGCTGAAATTTATATATTGACTTGTTAATGTGATATATCACAAGTTGTACTGCTTAGGAATAGCTTTACAGTACTAATACTTAAACAAGTAAAGACTTTTTAAATATGTTCCAGGCTAAACTTAATCTAGTAGTAGTTACTACATTCAATCTTATATCTGGCTTTATAGCTTACTACTTTAGGCCATACTTATATTACATAGGAAATTATTACACCCAGTTTACATCGAGACAGTTAGCGCAGTTCAATAACTTTTGGGACACGGCTCCGTAAGTTACCCTCCTTTTAAACCCCAATATTTGAACATTAATTACGAATGATTATTCTGATTACATAGTATGATGTAGGTCTTGAATGTACTGTACAGATAGACAGAGGAACACAGCCGATCTATCTCCATCTCACAACAAGGAATCATTGCCGAATTTGCGTGCATACAATCCCAAAGCCCGGATCGGCCAGTAGAGCTTGTAGTTCGGATAAGAGATCATACTAACCCATTCACATTAGTAGGCAACCAATAGGTTTCCGGGAGGGAACAACTTACCAAGATTGATTGAATACCCCTTCGATGGACTCCTGCAGCCACTCGCCGTTGGCTTGCTGTCGTGACATCAGCAGCTTCATCGCCCGCTCCAATGGTTCCTTGTGAGGATAGCCCGCCTCCATCAGGGCTAGACAGGCCCATGCCGTCTGTACCACCTGTGACGTCTCATGTTGCACATACACGTGTTTCTCACTGCTGAGATACGACTCACCCCAGCCACCGTCTTCTTTCTGCTTCGACAGCAGGAACTCGCAGCCGCGGCGGGAGTCCGCGCTGGTCTCGTACGTCTCACCGATGCTCGCCAGACTTTCCAACGCAAACATGGCCGCGTAGGTGAAACAAATCCCCCACGATCCATACCAACTGCCATCAGCCCGTTGCACCCGCTTGATATACTTGACTGCCCGCTCCTTGGCGGCTCGAATCTCATCCGCGCGGTAGTCAGGGAAGTACTTGCTGAAGAGTGAGAGTGCAGTCACGGAGGCCGTCGTACACTCCGGGTAGTCGTAGCCTATCATGATGCCACCAAAGACCTCCGCCGCGTTGAGCCACTCCAACTTGGTTGACCCGCGCGTGGTCTCGTATTCAGTGAATCCCCCGGATGGATTTTGCATAAGCAGCAAACAGTCCACACTATCTCTCAGTCGCTGCGTCGAGATCAACTTCGGGAAGTCGTGCATCTCTTGTAGCTGGATCGTAGCCCGCAGTCCCTCAGCAGTGCAGTCACTCACCGTGTAGCCCTGCGTCTTGGTGCTGAACGGCCACGCGCCCTTCCGATGCTGGCGATAACACTTCTCCTGATCCGGGACATTCTCGCGCATCTGGTGGTCTTCCACGAATTCCAGCGCCTTGGTCAACATTGGCCGCCACTTCGGGTCCGCCGCAAAACCAGCCACAACAACAGCCTGGATGATGAAGGTGGTATCCCAGACCTGCACTCCGTTGGTGCCGTTCATCAACATGCCCTCATCCTTCATCCACATGTAGTCATTCAAGCGCTCACGGTGCCGGCGTACCGAGTAGCTATCGGGGCCGTCATGTTCATAGCACGCGATCATGTTCATAGGGTTGCTAACCGGCCCCAAGCCAGCGTAATCCGTGTTCTCATCTTCCATCCGGATCAGTTCCCAAGTCCACTCTTCCGCGCGGCGGGTCACTGCGGAAACCCGGAAATAGGGATTCCAGAAATTGACGAGAACCGAGTTCAGCGTGTTCAGTAGCCACGTCTTCGGGTAGTAATTGTCCGCTGCGTGGATTGAGTTGCGGTGGCCGGCAAAATCGATCGAATCATATGGTTGCGTATACAGCTCTTGCCGAAGCTGCTTGGTGAGAGGGTCCAACGGATGGGCGAATTTCTTAGACCACAAATAAGACATGGGCAGGAAGACCTGCCGAATGTGAATCCACCACCGCCAAGGGGCAAATGGCACCCAGTCCGGAAGCAACCTAAAGCCCAAGTCAGCATTCTCTACCTCACACCGATAACAGCAAGCCGACATACCAGATCTCTGGCGGAACAGGATTCACGCAATCCCACTCCATCACACCCAGCACACTGAGGAAGAACTTCGCCCAGTGAGGTCCATAGAGCGCGCCTCCAAATTTATGAAGCAGTCCGCGGGCCTTGACCATGCGGGGGTCGTCTTCATCGACCCCAACCAGCCGCAGCGCGACGTAGTTCATACACGTCCCGAAGACGGAGCTATGAGCTTCGATGTGAAGACCCCAGCCACCATCCTCCGGATGCTGCCGAGCAAAGAGGTATCTCTTGATCTCGGTCGCATATTCCGGGGGGATGGGAGTGTGCGTGACATAGTAGGTGATAATCAGGCCCGGTAGCAGGAACATAGGCCCACCATACTCGCAGGCCCAATTGCCCGGCTCAAGCTGTAGCTTTGAGAAGAACTCCAGGCCGTTCTCTGCACATTGAAGCGGAGTCTTGGGCGTTGGAAGTTCGGGAAGACCCTAGAGCTTAGCCCGATTAGAGAAAATAGCTTAAGCCAACGAAGAGCACCAGAGAGGATAGATATACCGTGGGTAAACCCAGAAAGTACTTATCGGCCACCGTCTGCGGCCACTTCTCACACTCCTCATCCGATTCGAGATAGTGCCACGTTTGGCGACCGCGATCGTCCCGTAGTCGCCAGCGAGTGTAGTCCGTTTTGGCATCTCCATGGTCATCGGAAGTCAAATGGCCCTGGGCCGGGGTTCTCCACGGAGCGATATGTGTTCCCGACATGGCTGCTGCTGTGGAAGAGGGGGGGGAAGATCGATACGAAGCGAGACAGGTCAATGGCACAACAGTAATAGTCTAGAAGCTAGACACTAGACAGGCAGAGAGGCATTGACCAAAAGCAATTGAAGCTTCCCTGCGTTCTACGGGGGGTCTCGCAACCTGGCCTAAACGCTTTTCAAGATAATTTAATTAGTAGTAGTTAGTTGTAGTTGAGGTAAGGTAAATCAAATCAACACACATTCTTGATCGACGGAGCTACCCGCTTAGTCACCCATCAGGGGGGGTTGCCTAATCAAGACATGCCGGTAGTACGCACTTAAATCCTGACATATCACATGTAAGTTAACGTTGACTAACTAAACAGGATAACACGATAACAGATAGAAAGAACAATCACATAGCTCACATAGCTCAGGTGTTATTATGAATCATCCCTAACGTTCCCAACGTCCCCAATATCCCTTGGCAAGAGACATCAGGTCCTGATTAAAGATTACTACTGATCTGGAGGACAACATCTCCAATCCAGGGCTCGCACGCCCAATGGTTCTGAGGTATCAAGTATGCAAAAACAACCACAACCACAACAACACCGCAAAATCAATTTACCAAGTCCTCCGGGTATCAATCCTGCCCTATCCTTCCATAACCATAAACTTCTCGATCACTTCAATTCATTTGGCCACCCCCACAGCGGACGTCTCCTGAGCCGTCACTGTAGGGTCCACCTTAACAGGCTCCGCGGTCGAGGACTCCTGTTTGGGCGCCTCGACTGGCACTTCTTCAGCCGGGGTTGCAATTTCCTTCGAGCCCTCGGCGTCCGGCGTCGGCTCGGGAGCCGCGGCGGAAACAGGAGCACTCTGTTCCAACTTGACGGTATAACCACCTTCCTGCAAGGCGGGACCGGTGCCGCCGTAAGAGTGAGGAAACTGATCCTTCAGAGCAGGGAACTCCCGAGCCAGATTGGCGCCGTTGGAGATGGGGTGGAATTTGCGCGTAGTGTTCTTGCTGAGGAAAACCTTCATCGCGGCGAACATCCAGCCCATGATGGCAGGAACATTGACGAAGAACTTCTCGCGCAGCAGTTCGGGGTAGGCGGTGGCGAAGACCTCAATAGTCTTCTTGGTGGCTGCGCGAATGTTGGGATTCAAGCGGAGGAAGCTGACGTTCAAGTAGTCGTGGACCTGGATCATCTGGTAGGGATCCTCTCCCTCATAGTCAATCACGGTCGTAGCCTCGCCGAGCTTCATATCCTTGACTGCCAGCTCCATGAGTGCCACACGCCACCGGATGAACCTGAACCCAGATTTAGCTTCGCATTGACAGCATATTCTCAAAGGGGGGTCACATACTCATCTGAGTCACCAAACGTAGCGTCCACGTTTTTGACACTTCCATAAATATTCCACGTAACAATAACCTCCTGGCCGTTCGCCTCGGTGTATTTGGTCACATAGCCAAGACCACTGAACTTCTCAGCATTGTACTGACCCTCAGTCAGCGCGATGGGGTTCATCTCCTTGCGCCATTGCAGGGCCTTGGTGAGCTGCTCCTCAGCCAGCTTGACATTGCCCTCGTTAGCGCGCAAGAATTTGATGAGCACGTTGACCGTGGGGATATCGTTGAAGTCCTTCAAGGTCACTCCCCACATCTCAGCATGGCCGGTCGCAGAGAGAATGGCAGGCAGGCGATCGAAGAATTCGGCGAGAGCGGGGGTTTTAACCAGATATTCCGGTTGAGCAGGCTGCTCCTCCTTGGCCTCCTCCTTAGGTTCTTCCTTGGGTTCTTCCTCTTTGACGCCATCCTTTGAAGGTCCTTCCTTCGCTACTTCCTCATTCTTTGCCTCTAGAGCGGGAGCGGTCTCGGTAACGGGAGCTTCGGTGGTGGCGGGAATAGAAGGAGCAGCAGCGGTAGCGGCGGCGGGTATTTGAGCAGGTTCCGTGGCCGTCTTCTCCTCGGTCGTCATCTCCGGCTGAGGTTCAGCGATAGTGTCAGTGGTGGTGGTGGTAGTAGTAGCAGCAGCAGCGGTAGCAGACTCAGCAGACGCAGGCTGAGGGGCCTCAGGAGTAGTGGTGGTAGCAGGCTGCGACTCAGGAACGACCGGAGTCGTCGTCGTCTTCTCCTGGTGATCGGACATGGTGGACTGGGATGCTAACGAGTGGTTCGCTAAGAAATGGAGGATTTCTGTCAGGTCGCAACGTGGTCGAGTGACTGACCACAGAAATGAATAGGTGATCAATGGAGAAGTCAAGGGATGAAGGAGGAATTCAGAGGAGATGGAAGCGAGGGAGAGACAGAACGAGGGAATGAGAGAAGACGAGAAGAGCGAAAGCGGAGAGAAAGAGAGAGAGAGAATACTAGGTAGGCTCTAATTACAGGGATGGACAACAGAAACAATAACAACAATAACAACAACGGATTAACCATGTAGCAGCTAGGCCACTGGCCACACAAACTACGGAGTAAGTTACTATTTACTGTACCTCTAGACTCTAGTACTACGAAACATTTGTTCAGAGATTATTCAACCTGAAACTGTCTAACTAACTAGTTATTGGGTCTGGGGGTCTAGACTGTGGAGCTGCCATGGCTCCGCGCTGGACGATTGATAAATGATAACAGCCTCGGAGACCAACTCACTAAACCCCAACGGTCGCTGGCTAATTTTAACTCTGCTGCAAGGGTGTTTCAGAATGAGCCCAGGTTGAGATGAAGCTGAAGAAGAAGATGGAGAGAAGGGGGAGGGGGGGGGGGAAAGCAATAACAGAAGGAAGAAAAGAAACAAAAGGCAGAGAGAGAAATGACAGTTCATTTCACAGCACGGCTATCAGTTCTGCTGCCCCTGACAGATTGCAGAAAGCCCGGCTTTTGAGAGAGAAAAGACTCGTAACTATGGCCTAACCATCTGATACATCAATCGGTGTTGCTGCTATTCTCGGCTCTGGGTCCGGATGGGATGCCCTACGGCTATTTTTATCCTCTTCCTACACCTTTTCATTCAAGTACAATCCTTCCTGGTCACTCCCTGGTGCATAGGGATTCAACGAGGTAAATCACGAGTCCCCTTGCAGGAATCCTTCCCTGCTTTGACCACGGGAGAAATTCCACAGATAGACAGGCAAGAACAAGTTCAATCGGATTCATGCATGCGGTCAGTTAGCTATGTCCATTTCATCTATCAGACTAGCCAGCTCAATCCATCCTCAGGAGTAGAAATAACAAAGGGGGAATGGAAAGGGAAATAAGAAAAGTACAGTGAAGGATTTACAGTTCATAGAACACATATAGGCCCGTCTGGACCAGAAGCCAACGCTTGGGAATATACAGCTAGGAAATGAATGCAGCAGGTATTGAAGATGAAATGATCAGCACAGCAGAGAACCCTCTGGTTGCTTGGGCTAATCAGATCTGGTGCCGTTAAGAAACTGCGTTGGGATCGGGGGCATGGGCGGTGGCGCCGCGGCGGCTGAAGATCCCTCCTCCGTTTCGTCCTCGTCCTCGTCCATCTCATCCACCTCGGGATGGCTGCAAAAAAATCGTCAGTTACTCATCCAATCTGGAAGGAGGTGTCTGAAAAAAAAAGGGAACCTACGCCAGGAGTTCTTTGATGTTGCGCATCTCATAGTGCTTCTTCCGGTGCTGCTCAAACTGACGATGTTTCTCTGCGGCCTCTTGCGACGTGATTAGCCCATCGGGCCCGGACTGATATTCCCCGTTCGCCTCGCCCGCACCCATCACCACATGCTTGTTGCTTCGGTGCGACTCGTTGCTCAGGCTCCGCTCGCGCACAATTCGGTCATCAGCCCCAGCGTGCGCATCCCCAGGAAATGAGTCTTCCGGCTCGCCCAACTCCAACTCGGGGATTTCATCCTCGGCCACTCCCTTCTTGGGTGCTTTCATGGTCTTGTCCAATTCATCCACCACCACTCCTTGCGCATCAATCAAGGTGTTCTCGGCCTCGAGCTCCTCCTCGTCCTCAGCAGGGTCGTAGTGGGGTGCAAACGGAGTTTTGGGCTCGTCGATCTTCATCTTGGCCGTCTTCTGCTGTTCGGTCAGGTACAAGTTGGCCTCGTCCCATTTCAAGCGCGGCGAGTTCTCTTCCGGTTGACCGTGGATGTGCGCCAATGATTGTCGCCGAGATGATAATCCCGGGCGCGTGTTCGAGGTAGAGCGACGGCGACCGGCATTTTGTAGAGTGTTTTGCAGCGTCAGCTCCTTGGTGTCCACCCCGTCGGGGTCGTTCTGCGGAACGGTCAAAGTGTCATGAACTTGTGCGATTTGCGGAATCGAGCCACTAGAATTCTTGAGGATACCTGGTACCCAAGAAATTAGATCGAAAGGTTCCTAGTCATGGGCGATAAACAGGATCACGTACCCTTCGGCCTCTTCTGGGAGTCCTCCATCATGTGGTGCGAAATAGTGGTCATTGTAGTCGGAGAAGGAAAAGTGTATTGCTTCGAGAAAGGTAGTGTAAACGGATCTCTGACTGAATTGAGAAATTTGAGCAGCGAGGCGGTTGACGAAGGAGTCCAGCTATATTAAGGACGATCGAAGGAAGGCGGAAGACTAGACAAAAGGGAGAGAATCAAGATGGGAAGATGTATCTTTGAGGTTAGATCTGACAGGGATCAGACGAGTCAGCTGCTATTGAAATTCACAAACGCAAGGCCAGCAACTGAGGCTGAGCTGAGCTGACCAAAAACCTCAGCCTCCGATCGAGCGGTGACAAGAAAAGTCTCACGTACAACTAAATGTACAGTACGGGCTGTACTGTACAGAAACTGTTCGGAAGCTGAGTCCCAAGAGCTTCTTTCGTGTCAAAAAGGAACCACGACGCGATAAGTGGAATTGTAGGGAAGGAGGACTGCGAATTAGAGGAAAGCAGATAAGGCAGAGGGAGGTGGGAGAGAGATGGGGAGGTGGGAGAGGGAGGGGGAGGGGGAGGAGGAGGGGAAAAAGATGGAAATGTACGGAGTAGAAGTCGAAGAGAGAGAGAGAGAGAGAGAAAGTGGCACGTGGGGCTGGCTGGCTAAACTGCCTCCTCCGACGATGACGTCGGGAGCGACACACACAACACTACCTGACAACCACTTTTGCTACCTGAGCACCTAAGGGGGCGACTACTTCCAAGTAACTGGCTAGTCACCCTGCCTATCTTTGTCTTTGATGGCTAACTTAGTAGCTAGTACTCACTAAGGTGTTCCTAGTCCTACTCACTGCCAGCTTTGCCAAATCAAGAGCTATCCTTGTCATCTCCGTCCATCCTGGAAAGGGCCCGAGCCTTGAATTCGTCATAGGTATGGCAGATCCATGTAACTCATCAGTTTGAAGACCTATGCAGGTATTGGCAGGAATATACGCAGAGAATGAAAGTATTGATACTTAGATTACTTCGAGGTCTCGTCTTCTGTCATCACCTGACGCTGATGCGGCCACCTGTTCAACACTATAACTCTACATTTGGTGCTTGCGCAGCTCATCCCTCCTAGAGCACACCTAGAAAGAGGAAAAAGACAGAAAGAAAGAAAGAAATAAGGAAAGTAACAAGAATGATAGAAACGAGAGCGTATAAGGAAGCAAGTAATTTAAATAACACAAAAATAGCAGAGAGCCGCCCTAGGGGAGAAAAAAGAGGGGGAAAAAACAATGGGTAAATGTATAGGGGAATCTCATGACCCTGCCATGCTCCCCAGGAGAGGAGCCACAAACCAGAAATCAAAACATCACGCGCCACAGGCACCTAGACCCATTCACCCCAGAACAAAGGATATCAAGAAAGCCGCACATCTACATGCACGGGGATCAGTCGCGTTACGCGAACCGAGGTGTCTTCGGTCGAAAGCAATAAGTCATCAATGGTATCAAGTCATAAGATGTGAACGGAAAGTAAACCGATTTTAAAAGAAATTCCGAAGCAGAACCAGGGCAATCCGAGCAGAGAAGAGGCTATAAGTGGAGCAAGCAGGAGAACCTAAATATGACTCAAAGCACAGGCGCAGAAGTGTTGAAAGAATTGTTGAAGAGGGCAGAAACATCTATGCGATGGACTCGAACTCCTCGCGCTCACGAAGTCGATTCCGTGCAAGCTCATCTCCGCCGGTGGCGGACAGCTGCATCCAGTGCAGGGCTAGACACATGCTCTGAGGGTCGGATTTCGAGTCCTTGTCGCGGCGATACATCATCTCCGCCTTGAAGGTGTCACGGAGCAAAGTGAGCGGGAGTGTCACCCGCGGCAGGAGCTCGGGATGGGTGAGGTAGAGGATCGCCAGCTCCCGCTGGGCAATTGGATTGCCCTCCTTGGCTGTAATGATCCACATGCCAGCAGCATCTTCAATGGCATGTCCAGCTCGGGAATGGGGTTCGTTTCCAGCAGGATGGCGCCGGCTGAGCTCTTGAGATACGATATTGTCGGCAATCTCAACCATGCTGTTGCATACTTCATCCTTGAGGCTCAATGCTGCCAGGCCAAATTGCAAGAAGGCGGTCCCACAATCGGTCTGGTTCAGCGTCTCGCTCGGAACAAAGGCCGAGATGAACTGAAGATCGCGGAAAAGAGTCTTGGGCTTCACCTCAAGCAGCAAGCTTCGCAGTGCGTCGACTATTTGGTGCTCACTGGGGGCACTGTAGTCTGAAGGGCGGCAGTCAAAGAGGACAGACTCAGCGACGGCGGAAGTAGGCGTATGAAGAGCGGCTTTGTCATGCACACGCTTCGCCTGGGACTCTGAAAAGCTGTGTCGAGCACTTCTCTTTCCCTGCATTCCGGCGCTGCGTCCTCGCTGGCATTTGAGATCTTGGGAGGCAGTAAATGAACCCAGCTCCTCGTTGGTTGTATTGAGTGAAGCGACCACCAATGCTCGTAGATCGCGCAGTGCCTTGAGCTTGACGAAGGGGTTCCCATGTCGGGAAAAGACCTCGATCAGACGATGGAAGATGGCGCTGTACGAGAATTGCGGTACATCTTTTCCAAACTCAGTGTTATTCTTGCAGGGAGAATTCAAAGGGGGTGCAGGCTCCCCGAGCAGTAGGCGGTCTGACGATCCAAGGGATTGGCTTCGCGTACGATTAGATGGTGCACGGTGCAACACATCGCGGACAAGCCGCTCATCACACTCGGTGTAGAATCTTTGAATACGAGCG